CTTAATGTATAACGGAGATTTAGATTAAATTTGTTCAAGTTTGCTAATTGGTTTGATGTTTAAAATTATTTTAAATAATTTTTCTAGTAGTATATTTTGGGTTTCGTTGCGGGATGTCACTGTATAGACTACTTGTACGCCTTATAATCAATGGCTAACAATTAATAAAACACTCTGTAACTGTTAACATTAATTTTTTACACTCTGATTGTAAAAATAAAAAAATAATTTACCAAAAAGAGGTACATGAGTTTGGGTCGTATTTTCGTATGCTAACATTTGCTATAATTATTTTGGTTTGTTGTTTGCATCTCGGTCAGCGTAGCACTTCAGTCTATGTTTACGTGCATCTGACGTTTGTTAACATTATATTTCATTCGATTTGTTTACTTTCGACAAATATATGTGTGTGCTTGATCTTTTTGTGAATGCATTATCAAAGACACATTAAAGTTTAGTATACGCATACTGAAACTTCCATCATAAAACAGTAATACTTATTTTATATCTTAAAGTGATCTACTGATAGTTACTAAATGTATGGATGTATAAATATATCGTATAATTTAAAATGGTTTAGTTTGTACCGTATTTCCTGAACAAGGATTAAACTATAAAGCGTTCGACAAAATTCCTTCTAACTGTCATGTACATATAGTTAGGAATGGAAACAATAGCCGAGGGATTAAATAGTATGTATACTTACTAGAGATGTAAATTTGTCTTATAAACTCATCAATTTAAATGATTGATATCAATAAAAAAAAATTTCAATTGTATTTTCGATTAGAATAAATTATATCATTGGCAGCTCTATTCTTTAGTAAGCCATGCAAGTGAACGACGACGATAATAGTCTCCTGTACCAACGTGTAACGTTATAAATATCGTAATTTGTATTTATATAGATTTTTTTCAAGAAACCCTGGAGGTATTTGTATGATACATAAATCTGAATAAATAAGATTATTTGTACATACACAGAGAATAATATTTAGATATATATATATAGTTACTATTAAATGATAATATTATTTTAATATACATGTGTCAGTTGGAAAATTGAAATCAGCATGTTAACAAAGTTGTTTCAGATCGTTAAACAGCGACCACTGATGTTATTTTTTTATACTAATAATTAAAACTTGTTTGATTTAAAAAACAAGAGGTAAAGATAAATTCTATACATAATATTTTATCGAAATTAAACGGTTAGTAGCTGCCGGCTATAAGGATTTGAAATAATATATTTATTTCCAAACTTCCAACTAAGCCGATCGAGTAAAATGACTCTGAGGCAGTTTTTGGTACGTTCTTTTATAATATTAAATGATACCATTAAAAGGACAAAACTAAAACGGTTGTCAGCATCTTTATTTATTCACTATATGAATAAAAAAAATGTATTTCCTTTATAATATATTTACCACAAAATTACGCGTTTATTTTGATTTTACACTACATCTAGTTTTGAATATCTTTACACCGAGTTGAAACTTACAATTTTTGTTAGTGAGATGTTATAAGCTGGTAATAAATATTATTAACTTATAAATTATAATGCCCTGTACAGTTATAAATTATGGCGCCGAAACGTTACGAAGAAAATGTTACTTCGTATAAATCACAAGGACTTATCTCATGTTACAGAATCAATTTTGTTGACATTTTTATTTATTCAATGGATAGTGTCAGCGACCGTACTATTTTATACACCCAAAGAAAAACCTCAATCAATTTTGATAGAGAAATTTTATCAAAGGTTTATGATAATGTTTTATTAATACGAACAAAATAATTATTCTTATAAATAATTGAAGAGTGAATGTGTCAAACGTTCTATGTGCCAAAAAAATATTTGTTCAGAAAACACAAAAAACATCACAAATTAAAAATTTTCTTATAATTTTGTATAAAAATACATGTTATGCTATATTTACACTATATTAATAGCCTCGTAAATTTCTATTATTTTATTTTGTCATTTCATATTAGTATAAATTAAACATTTGCTAATGACAGTTCCAAGTGCCAAGTATTATAATATTAAAGTTCCAAGTTTCAAATAATGTGATAATATTATCGTTCCAAGTACCAATATTTTATTATAGATAACAGAAAATCATTCTTTATTTTATTAAGACTTCATATATATTTTTATAAAATATGTAAAAAAATCAACACTTTTTTTGAGTATCACAAATTGAAAAATAAATGTACAAACTTAAATAAAAAATACTCTTAATCTAACATGACATTGTCAGTAAATCTCAAAACGTAAAATAAAATTTTTTCTTCATATAAAAATGTAACAAGAAAAGAAAACAGTAGCTTTCTTGAGTATCACAAATTGAAAAATAAATTAACAAACCTAATAATAATTATAAAAAAAATCTAGATTAAACATAATTAGAACATAGCAACATCATAATAAATAGCAAAAAAAATTAATTCATGACGTTATATTTTTATAGAAGTTTCTGTGCTTATCAGGTAAAAAAGGAATCATGGCCAACAAATCTTTTTTCTTCTCTGACGACAATGTGGGTTTCGGTATAGGTATAAATGTCTGATTTTTAAGTTGGTCTATAGTAGCATTTCTTTTAAAAACGTTAAAATCTTTCCAAAGTTCTTCATCTGAAAATGTTTTTTTATAATAGATTTTTTTGGGAGTTAAAAATGAAACTTTAATCATCGAACATTGGAAACTTGGTTGTGTTAAAAAAATTGTTAGCAATGTCTTTAAATGAAAAAAAGTTGTTTTCATCCATCGGAATAACTCGAAATGGATTTATCAACTTCGCTGCTCTAACCATTTCTTGTAAATCAGAAGGAGTGAAATTTTGAAAAACTCTACGTCTCTTTTCGATAATAGCGAAATCACGATCACAAGCCAAGAGAGAGTGGCCACTTATCAAAAATTTTTGTATAATCTCATCAAATATCCCCATATTTATTAAATATAACATCAAAACTACTAACGTTTTATTTTTATTTTGGCCAGCACAGTTGTCTGACCATATAATTAGTTTTTTGCGATTTATCGTATTTTCGTTTTTGTTAATAACTTTAAAAAGACAAGAAGCGATTTCTGAGCTTCCACGAGAAGCAATACTTTCATCCCACATATACATAAAGGCTGTATTGCTGTCACCGAGATGTATTCCAAAGTTATAACAACTAAGTTGACGCTTTCCTGAATTGTATTATTGCTTTTCCTGGTCGCATACGATTTTCCACTAATTCTTTTTTTAGTCTGATCATTTCTTCTTTTTTTACCACTTCGTAAAATATGTATACTTTCAGTATCCATAATAATACAATTAAACAAATGAAAAAGAAAACTTAACGAATACAACAACACCAGTATTAGTTATTTTGAAATATAACGGACTATATTATAATATTGTAATCGTCAAACTATTATATTCGTCCAAGGCACTTAGAATGTACAGGTAACAAAGGGCATGTCTCACAGAACAAATACAATCTATGAACGCAATTTTGTACAAGTAAAAAATTTAATTGACACTTAAAACACATACAAGATTGTGACCTTTGGCTTATAGAACATAAATCAGAAATAAAACAATTTTTCAATTTTTTGGCACATAGAACGTTTGACACATTCACTCTTCAATTATTGTTCAAGACAAGAAAAAAAATTATCATATTGATAAATATATCATAGTTTCAATAGTAATGATATATTTATCAAATTGAACAATGAATTTATTATATAGATCGAGGTTTTTCTCTGGGTGTAATAATAGTTATATTTTTAATAAAAAAAAAAATTATTCTCAAATTATCTAAAACAGCAATACAACTTTGTCTTTCCATTAATAACATGAATAATATATTTATATAGAGTGTCCCATCTTGATATACTTATTTGACTGTATAAACTAATATTAAAATTAGTAAATTACGGTGGGGTACCATATATATACTAGTTGAGATTTCATTTGAACACAAAAAAAAATATAACCGTCGACACTTATAAATGACTTAATTAAAATAAAATAGCAGTTTACTGCGGAAGTTTTACTGACATTAAACTGCATTAGCAATTTTGTGGGTTATAAATTATTAATAAAAATACTGTACAGATATATTACGTGTTGTATTATGTACAAAGGGTGAGCATTTGGCTGTGTCTGCTCTATAAATAAAATATTATTTTACTTTATTTTTTAAGTTCTTCTGAGAAAATAACGGATTGCTTTTGGCTGAACAAAAATGTTGTTGGACGCTATACCGCGTCTAGAAATTTAATATACACTGAAAGAAACAAATAGCAAACCGAAAATGCTTACATAAACAGTTTTCAAAGGCTCTTTTGTGGTGGTTTGCAAAAGCTGCATCTGTACACAAATCTGTGCAAATAGAATAATGTATAAGTATACGCGTACATGTTTATGATTCGCTAAAGGGATCGACTGAGCGCAAAAGGGACCGACGATCGGTGGCCGTAAAGTAGACCGAGCAAAATATTAAAAAAAAAAAATGAGAATCTGCAAGATAGTGACGACTGGAGGGGTGAAAGCCCGCGGACCTTTTAAGCGTAATTAGACAGTACGTTTACACGCGCGCTCCGGGCGGCTATAGCGATGCCGTTACTCGGTTGTGCAGACTTCACCCGCGTTAAAGGGGTTGTTTGTTTGGCTGTTCGCTTCTTGTCTTTCTATAGTCCCCGTTCTCTCGAGAGCCCCGCTGGCGTTTCACATGATTACCACCCGTTTGAACTGATGCAAATGAAATATTAACTCTTCCCTCAGGCTTGCCCGTACAGTATTAAGTCGTTACTGTGTTGGTCGAGCGCGGGGATTTATATAAATTGCCCTCGACACCATCGACGCGTATTACGCGAAAGTTCTAGTCCATATGTACCTGTTAAATTCCCTAACTTCCTTTCATCAATAATAAATAACTGTTTTTGTTTTCTTAAATTATTTTTTCTAAATAAATGTTTTTAATAGCATTGACTTTTTTCACAGACATTTTAAAGAACCACCGTATCCACAGCAAGTACCATGGACGCCGCCGGAATTAAGTGGCGTCGGTGGCAACGGTATTGTAGATCCGTTGGCTTTGCCATCACCATCACCGTTACCAACCGAACCGCCACCAAAGTGTTCGAATATTACCGGGCTATCTTCTGGTCAAGCCAAGTTGTGTCTTTTGTACGAGGAACATCTGACGTCTATCCGACATGGAGTCCAGGCGGGTCTGAGCGAGTGCAGATCACAATTCTTGCACCGCCGTTGGAATTGTTCCATGACCACCGAGAATACAGGCGTTTTTCTCGGCCCTGAGTTGCAATCAAGTACGTACTCTCGTAAAACGTTGTTTTGCTATAGTTTCAATTACTGCGGTTGTATTCTCTCTAGAAAGATGAAGTAAAATAATTTTAAAGACACTTTCTGCGAACTTAAATCTTGTTTTAAAGGATCAAATAAGGTTCAGTAGGAAATCGAATAACGCGAGTAGATTAAGATGACTATGAAATAGAAAAATTTAGAGTTCGAAGACATGTGGAGTTTATAACAGCTGCATGATCTGTATTTATTTTATTAAAAAGCGCCTGTTTATTGTTGACAGGTAGCCGCGAGGCGGCATTCGTTCAGGCGATCAAAGCGGCCGGTGTGGCGCACTCAATGGCGCGCGCCTGCAGAGATGGTCGGCTAAACACGTGCAGTTGCTCGAGGTCCGGGAGACCGAAAGATTTAAGAAAGGATTGGGTTTGGGGAGGTTGTGGTGATAATATGGAATACGGCTACAAGTGAGTATCTAAACTACTACCATTAATGTTTGCCAACATACTTAAATGTTAATAACATTTTAAGCAATTGCATTTCCAAAGTGTTTAACACCTTGGAAATACGTGTTAAAAAATAATCACATTAAAAAAAATTTTTCCTCATTTTCACACGCATGTATGGAAATGTTTTTAACGCATAAATGAAAAGGAAAATTTGTAAAAACGGTGAAAGTAGTGTTATAATTGTGTACGAGTTTTCGAAACTTTATATCAAAATTACAATGTTTGTGTGTAAAATTAATATGTAATATTAAAAATATTATTCTAACACAAGGAAATTTTTAGATAATTTCTTACAGTGTATGACTAAAATTTTTCGAAAATATGTCCACAACTTTCCGATGTAATGTTATTTTATCTATTTTATGTCTGATGAAATTTTGATTCTTCTTCATTAACATCATCCAAGTTATCTAGAACTTATCCAAATCAGAGTACAATAAAATGCAATTTAATGTTTATATTACAACCCGAAGTGTGATTGCTTTTTAACATTTATTAACAACGGCTACTTAATTTTAATTTTGTTTTCAAAAAAAAAAAATTAACTCTTTCTTGGTAATTAGTTAAATATTTGAACAAATTATGTAGATAAATAAAATCTAATAATTTCATCAGCGTACAAATATACGCCAATATGTGGAACATAAATTTACTTAATTTAAATATAACTGTGTGGAAAAGTTATAATAAAAAACAACAAATTTTGAGCAATTCGAGATATTTTTTCCATCAACAACAATTATGTTAGTATTACGACAAAAAATATCATTCTTTAAATCCTCATAAAATTATCTTTTTATTGATTATAAATTCATAAATAAGTGCTATAATCCCTAAATTAAAAGTTAACAAAACAAGTTAAACATTGTCGCAGTTATTTCAAAATTCGCATACTTTTTCATAATACAATTAAAACAAATTTAAAGAGTTTCAAGAAAAAACTTGTTTTTTTATTAATTTTTAAGTGTGTAACTATTGCTTAATTACTAATTAGTAATTATCACAGAAATTAGATGTGATGGAACAAATCTGAAACCAGATTTAGAAACAGTTAAAATTTCATAAAGAATTCGTCCAAATATTGTAAATGTTTTTCTGTGTTACTATGGAATTGAGTTTTGTAATGATTTTGATGACCCATAAACATAATGTGCTTAAAATATACCAACTATTTAATTCTCATCATGTGATTTTATGCAATTTAAATGTTTGAATAGTAATTTTTTTTTTTTTGTATAATTCAATGACATATATTCAGTGTCATATATTTATGGAAAAATTTTTGTTATATTTTTACAGAGCCCACTTAAAAAGTGGGTTCTCTGAGAAGTATAGCTGTTGTCTACAATTTATCATAATACAGGATAAATAAAATTTAGATATTTAACAAAAATGGAGTAAAAATTATATATAAAAATAATATAAATAAAATTGATATTATATCAGCATAAGTAGCATAAGTTAAAAAATCTTTGTGAATACTTCAATATATAATGTTATTTATTTAGTAAGTCTTATTAAAATAAAAGGATTGTTTTTAATTAATTATTTTATTTTAACACATAAAACAATATCAGGACCGGATCTGAGAAAGCGAGTTGAGTTCATTCTCATGAAAACTATTCAAGTGAATGTAATTAGTAATGTTAAGATAATTTTGCAAGGGGGTCTTTTTGATTTACCACGATATTGATATATGTATATAAACTGAATTGAAAAAGGGACTTTTATATTTTATGTGTTGAGGCCAAATTTGTATACTTACAACACGCCTATATTTCATTTAATACATATGTCTTTATTGAAATGACAAAAATTATTAGTATTTTTTGAATTTGTAAATTACATTATGTTTTCACTTTAAAATATAGCTTGTAATGTATTNTTATTGAAATGACAAAAATTATTAGTATTTTTTGAATTTGTAAATTACATTATGTTTTCACTTTAAAATCAAGCTTGTAATGTATTTCTATATTTACAATCAATAAAAATCTTTTCGTTAATTTTTTTAACAGTTTCCTGTAAATAATAAACGTTTCTTTTAATTTTTTGCATATAACACAATTTTATAAGATTTAGAAAAATCAATTTGACTAAATTATATTCATAAAATTTATATAGATTTATATGATGACTGGTTGGATTTAAGTTTTGCAAAATGAATAATATTGCAGTAGTTTAGTCCAATTGTTAAAGATTGATCTTTTATCGAAAGATATTGACAGTGACATTTGAAGACCACCACGGCGTGAAATAATACTGTCTGTATGCACTCGGCCGATCTTAATTCCATATAAGGTATTACTCCGTTGTCGTACAATTTTTTATCCTTATTTTATTACAAAATTGGATGAAAATGATATATATCAAATGTTCAGTCGTAGTTTTGCCTTACAGGTGAAAACAAAAATTTAAATATTTAAGTCTTTACTAATATTGTGAAATTCCACAAGTTATTGATTTTAGAATAATAAATTTACATCAAAATCCTTTTAGTGTACAATGTTATAAATAGATTCTTTGAATATTTTTACTGTACTTATAATATTCAAACTTTTTTGTATGTCTCAAATGTTTCCATTAATTGTTGGTATACATTGTTGTTAGCCATATTTGTATAGTTTCATTCTAACGTGGGTACAAAACACTTTGGAACCTATGTTTCATGTTCTTTAAGAAGAAAAAATAGTATCATGTAAAATATCCATACAGTAAATATGGAAAATATTTTTCTCGCATAATATAATGATAGTGAAACCGGTTTAACCAAAAATACTCAAAATAGTTACAAAATAGAATTATGTACGTGAAAAAAACATGTAAATATGACACTAGTTATGTGTGTTTTTCAGGGAAATTGGTCGTTCATGGCTATTACTTACCTTTTTTTTGGCGTTATAATGAAATATATTTTATCATAAAAATTATCTTGATTATCATTGTATTACAGGTTAAAAATACATAGAAGCTTTGAATTTATTATAGTATGTATTATTGTTCGAAAATTTAATTGGTTTAAAAAGTGCAGTAGCCAGAATTGTTAAAACTAGTCAAAAATTAAAAAAAATCAGTTATTCTTATACACACGATTGTCGTAAAATTACCGACTTATTTTTTCTACCATTTGAGTTCTGTTATTATCAGGTGGATAGGTTGGTTTATTGTATATATAAAAATGTATAAAATTATATGTTTTGGACAAAAATTAAAAATTAGGGCTACAGATTATTGTTTGAAATTGTATTTTTTATGACTTGATTCCTATGAAATAAATAAATAAAATAAACAAGTTAGTACGACAATGGAATAAACTTTAGCGTTCTTATAAAGAATATAGTTCAGATTTTTACGTTTTAAGCCATTTAATAATAGTTACACAGATAATAATAATTTTGATTCTGGTTATCAAAATGAATTCTAACTGATGAACCGTTTTTAAAGGTTCTGTTTTAGTTCCTATTGAAATATAAAATATATTAGGTGATATTGAAATTACTTTATTTTGATACTTATTATAATAATTATAATACCGTGACCAAACCTATTGTTTTTGTATACCTGCCTCTAATTGTTCACTATACGTTTATAGTATAGTACCCTTGTAGTTATAATAATTTTATATGAACCTCACGTAAAACCAATTAAAGGCGAGACCGGTCCCCAAACACCTCTACATGAGTGCTTTTCGTTATGCTGGGCTGTCTCGCCACTACTTTACAGAACATAATGTATTGTTTTTGAAAATAAGAGTTCAGATATATCTTGCCCTAAATGTGTCTGAATAATTAGCTTCCGGGGCGAAACATTTTCCGGGTAATTACAAAATATTACATTATTAGAACAAAACAATGAGCAAAGGCTGTTGGTTAATATATATGACCGTTATGTTAGTTGGTATTATTTAAAAAATATTTCATACTTTCTAAATATACAACTACCATAAGCATTTAGAGAAATATACTATCTCAACGTTAATATTGATTTGAAAACAACGTACAGATGTCGCAAATATTTCAACTATCATTATATTGTTTCTCCGAATCGATTCAAACTAATGACGGCTTTGTTGGATGCACACTCTGGAAATGAATTTCAGTCGTCTTGTAGGTCGTTTCTATAAATATACAGCTGCTTGCTGAGTATATATCCATCAATCTGTACGATCCAGAATAATGATATTGCGACGAGAACGTGGTCGGCTGTTTTTCTCAACAGATCGTCGTAATTTACTACTCACTTATACGATCGTACATCTTATCTTATCACTTAATGGGATATGCCTTTTCTTCTTAACTATTTTTGATTAATGTTTTTTGACAATAACAATTATCTTAAAGATACTTAACTATTTGTTGTACTACCAGGCTTGTGTAATAAATGTTACCGAATACTTTTTAACCGTATGCTGTTTAATTAGGGATTTAAACGCTAGTGCACTAAATTGTTAACAAAAAGCAATTAACACATCAAAAAGTGTACATAATATTCTACTAACATGCGTATGCGTTAACATATTATTTTTCTTGTAGATTCACAAAAGTTTTTTTGGACGTCAAAGAAAAAGAAAAAAGGTGGAAAAAAGGATCGCCGGAACAAGGCCGGAGTTTGATGAATCTGCACAACAATGAGGCCGGCAGAAGGGTAAGCTCTCGTTGTTTCATAAGAGTATAGACGATTGTGAATTAGTGCTGGAAATAATTAGACAATATTTTTTTCGTGTAGAACGCACGTCTATAGAATTTCCTTCCATTGTTCATCGAACTAGCCTTTCGTTATCTAACACTAAAACAGGCGTTTAGGAGATTAATTTTAGAATAAATATATTTTAACACGAATTAATGCCTTAATATCCGGGTGTTTCTTTCTCATAAGTGTTGTATCAGGATTTTTATTGCAGGTGGTATATAACGCTCCATGCGGTCTCATTTCCATCGAAATCCTCTGGCGCTACCAGCCAGTAGCCGACTACACGCTGTTATTATTGTGCATGTAATAGCTAATTATTTCATCATCTTGTAACTACAGTATTTAAAAAAAAATTTACGTCTAGCCCCTGAAATCAACTGCAGTCATTACACACAGCTTCCATGTAGAATTCGAAATTAACTTGGTTATGTAATTCTTTATTATCTTGTATGTTATTATATGCACGAATGTTAAATTCAGAAAAAGTGTTTTACTAAAAATAACAAGATTATCTATGTTTGGAATTTATTCATTATTATAATTATAAGTCTAAATGAATACATGAATAATTTTACCAACAAAAGTAATTATTATGTATCCCATGCTACTAAATATTTTTTTCTATTCGGACGACATGGTTTCTTTTAGTATTCACAATAAGCATATTTTATTTAAATAGACAAGATGAAAAAATACAGGCATATTTCAATCAGATAGAATCTCTATTTTTATTAAAAATCATCTAAACTTACACAAACAACTGCAGTACATCTTCACTTCATTAATTGTATTATTTTCTATCATCACCTTATTGGTAATAAATAAAAAATAATTTTCTGTCTGTCCTCAGGCCGTGCTCAAAAAGTCAAGAGTCACGTGCAAGTGCCATGGTGTCTCAGGTTCGTGCAGTCTGATCACATGCTGGCAGCAGTTGCCGACTATCCGAGAGTTGGGTAAGTTTACATTTAAATGTTATTTGTTTCGAAGTCGTGCATTTTCTTATTTTAATTTTAGTATTGCAAATTAGTTGTGTTGAAGTTTTCATCTTTCTACTTACTTTTTTTAAATTCATTTCCACAATCCCTGATAATAGCGATTTTCGAGTTATTCTTAAGAATAGATAGAAGAAACTGTTCCGAGGCAAACAATTCAAATGAATTCATTATTAGAACCATCCATTCATTATAATGTTCGAGTTTGATTTAAGATCAGTGTGTCGTTAATTTATTTAATTTTTAATCGAAGCTTACAAGTATTTGAATTTAAAATAAAATACTTTTAACTTTAAATTTTCAATGTTAACTTTAAAATCAAGCTTATGGAATATTCATATTTTAAATAAAAACTCATAAATTATTCGTTATATTCGTATAGGCCGTATTATGTTTAAGTTTAGTTTGCGGTTCTATATAGGTATTCAACTCGGTGGAAGCGATGTACTTCTAGCCATAAATATTAGGAGTTTGTATTGTAATGTGATACCTTTATGGAATTGAGTATATTGCGTATTACAGCGTCGTTTGATCGTTTATGCCGACGGATTATACGTGGACAAATTATTACGAGTCGAAATTAGGAATTTATCGATGATGTTATCGGTAAAAACGAGTCTCTATCATCATCTGATTATATTATTTTTATTACTTACATATGTAAAAATTAGTGTTGGCATATTAGTGACTTTTTTCTTGTCCGTATCAGTAAATTAACTTTTTCATAAGTATAAAAAATAGAAAATAAAGGCAATACGAGGAAAAAAAATACCTCTAGGCCACACGCGAGATACTCTTCCTATGTGAGAATTGTGTTAAACGAAAATGGAATCGAAAACGTCTTTATGGGTTTCTGTTGGGTGTAATAACGCAGATTTACATGCTCCTCGGTATGCCTGTTGCAATGATACTATTAAAACGATACACACATTACATATTTTCGTCGGATTTGGGAACCTGTTTCGTATTTGACACTGCGTCGGCTGGTCATAATGGTGTACATTTTAAGTATAATTGTTATTCCACTTTTTCAGGACTAGTGGTGTCGAACGGTACCCAAAATGTGGTGTTGGCCGTATCAGCCAATAATTAGGATACGCGATGGCGTAACGCACAAGGTGGGCGGCAATTAATAAAATCCATTAAGTGGGTACGAGTAGACAATAATAATTAATCACGCCGATATTGTGCAGGCACATTCCAGACTCGTTCTTACCTCCCCTCGTTTCCTCCACATTGGTTTCCCCATCGCGATGTTTTTGCTATTGGTTATTTTATGTTTTTTTTTTCACTACTCGTGTAAATCTTTATATTTATGTGACGTTTTGATTTAAAATACAGCCTTAGTAGAGTGTTGCCCGACAATGTTACTACCGTGGTCCGAGTGTAGCAGATAAGAAGAGAAATTATTTTCCCATCTTCCATTAACCCGTATGGGTATTCACATTAACTATATATTCGTGTCTCGGTGAATCGCCATTTACGACTAGACCGGAAACGATAATATAAAATATATTTACTCTTCGGCCCAAGTGTAGTAACTCGTTAAGGACGTCTCCTTAATGTACGTTATCGTACTTAGTACAATATGCTGTGGAACAATGTACTAATTGAACACTAATGTGATCTATATCGAAACGAGTTGGACTATTTTTTTTCTCTAAAAAGTAATCGGACTACCATAGTCAGTCGAACAATAACATCCTTATACGTTGACGACTGGCGACGGCTGCAGCGCCCCATTTAGAAGTTTAAATAAATTACTCCAATTTGTATACATAAACAAACCGAACATAAATTAGGGAACGATAATGTAAACGTCTAGTAAAATTCACTTTACAAGTGCACTACAAGTACACTTTGACTTTCAATTGCCGTTTTTAGTATTCATGTCTTCAGGCAGAGCCGTCTTAGGGGGGCAAGTACCTAAGGCGCCTAACATTTGAGGGGCACCAAAATAATATAAATATATATATATTTTGCATAAGATATACTTTGTTTAAAAATATATATTTTTATGTTAGTAGATATTTATTGCTTTTGTAGTTATATTTTTGTAAGTGCCTTCTTAAAATATCAAATGGGACTGTTATAAATAGTTAAGAAGACTGTTTAAAATTTCACTATCTATACTTTTTATAACTCAATTTACAAATAAAACTATTTATGGAATTTTTAAAGCTTGTGATATGCTTAAGTAATTGTTATTTTTTACATTAATGAAACTTTTAATATTAAGAAATGTTACAGTTTCATAATTTTCTAGTCATAATGAAAAATCATTTTTGACATATTTCCCTCTGGTTATCATCTTATACCTTCATAATGTCAATACTATCTTTTTTGTTCATAACCATTGTTTGGTTTGAAGTTACAAGTTTTTTTCAAACAAGTCTAAAATTTATAAAAGTTTACAAGCAGTTATATATCCATTAGCAAGATTATCCACCACTTTGTAGCAGTCGTGCGAAATGACTATTAAATTCAACAAAGTTGTATAATATTAATGAGCTCGATACTTATGTGTATGTATATTTTATTTTCGTCGATTTAATTTTGTTATTTCTGTCCGGTTAAAGTCAATGAAATACATTATTTTTTTGTTTTTATTAAGTCATTCCAAGATGATAGTGTTTACGTCCAAAGTCAGCTGTTCGAACGGCAAACATGCGACGTGGGTGTTCGTGACGTTTATACTAACATCATCACCATAGATTTTCTAATAACAATTTATCAACTTGCGTCTGATTCACATACACTAAGGAATTTCGATTGTCCGTCCGTACAACGAACGATCTAATCTGATTTGAAATTGTGATCGTTGAAATACCTAATCATACTTTATGCTCCAAAAATGATACCTAAAAGTACTACAGTTAGATTACATTAGAAGAAACATAAAAATTTTTATAATCAGCGGTTAAATTAAAAACAATACAAATTAATTCATCGTTGAGATTTTACCAACACCATCAGCAGGTAATAAGCAGGAGTCGGAATACTATACTTAGTAGGAAAAATGATTAAGAAGAAAGACGTTAATTATGACTGGAGACTTAATGACTTTGTTGTCTACTCGTATTCCTCATCGTCGACTGGTTACTGTTTTCTCCTACCGAGAACCCTAAAACGATAGTATTTTATAGGTATTGTATTTTCGTCGTGGTAATAACAATATAACACGTCTGACGTGTATGCTCCGGAGGTTTTTATGGGCCGCACGAGATGTGTTTTAACACCTTTATATGGTTTTTATGGACTTCATGGCGATTCGGCGGCTAGCCCATTATAATATAACATCCTAAACTATTATGTACAAGACCTCCAACTACTATGTATAATTCAACTTAGACCGACATAGAAAAATAAAATTACAATAAATTTTCTTGTAAACAGTTTGGACTTTTATCTCTCTCAAAACTTTTCGTTTACTTTATCTGACTACATTTGACAATAATAATTTCAGGGGATTACTTGAAAGAGAAGTACGAAGGTGCTATCGAAGTGAGGGCCACCAGACGAGGACGTTTGCAAATAAGGGATCCGAGATTTAGTTTGCCGACTGCTAGTGATTTAGTCTACATCGATGATTCCCCCAACTATTGTATTAGAAATATCACCGCCGGTTCCATAGGTAAGTGCTGCGAAACTATTTATTTTTCTAACTTGGATTAAATAAACCAAACAAAATAATTTTCAAAATAAAAGTTACAATATATTATTTATTTTGCTCTCCTAGTTGTGCATATGCTGTGTTACTGCTGTTCATCTTAGACAGTTAAATCAATAAAAAATTTAAATGTATTAGGGAAGCAATATTTGTCATCATATTTTCACAAAATTACTTGTTATTTCATTGATGTCCCTGAAAACATTGAATGTTGTGAATATTTTGAATTTATTTTTAGAAAATATTGTAAACGTTTAATGATCAAAATATGTGATATGCATGTAAATTGGGCTTAAATTTGGGAAAAGATACGAGAGATTCATTAAATCTCCCGGTGGATTGAAACGAACTCAGTCTCTCTACCTTAAACAGAACTTTTAAAGCATGTCCTTCAAGAAAATTTCGAAAAAATTTATCTAGAACACCCAAATTTTTGGTAAAAATTACCAATGAGTTATGATTAAATGAAAAATATTAATTTTTAAAAATTGTCTTTGTGTATGCGATAGTGATAGCAAATAACATATCATAAATGTATTTGTAGGTTATCATTTTCAGTAATAACTTGTAACAATATTGTTTAATAAAGTGTTATTATTTTGTTATTGCGGAAAACATGGTCATGAAATCATCCAGTATTTGTCTATAAAAAATAACTATTTGGAGGGTGTTGTTTTTTCAATCCAAAATTGACACCTATAAAGGTGTTTCTTTATCTTTAGATTTGTCTCTATCCTCATAAGATCGTCAATACGTGGTACGCTCAAAATGATAATCTGACCAAATTCTTTCCAAAGTATATTTTTCACTTAAAGTTAAATGTCAGAATGAGGAAATTAGAATAATTGATCGTGCATAAAAATTTATGTGATCTCAATAAATACAATATGAATAATTATGTATCTATTTAAACTTAACTGAAACATTAATGTGTTATATTTCAGGTACACAAGGCCGTGAATGTAATCGAACTTCACACGGAATGGACGGTTGTAGTCTATTATGCTGTGGAAGAGGCTACAATACACAACGGCAAGTAACGAAGGAAAGATGCGAATGCAAATTCCACTGGTGTTGTTATGTTCAGTGCAAAACGTGTGTACGAAATGCCGAAGTTCATACGTGCAAGTAGAATGAAACCCAGAATGTAATCATAAATCATTTCCACCAAATGCAAAAATATTGATTTTTTTTTTTTGAAATTTCAAACATTAGATCTCAGAATAAAACTAATAAAACTTTTGACTTTCTCAGGCTCTTCCCATTTTCCCCTTATCTTATTATATAAATATAGGATTTATAAACTTTTTATACGTATTGATAAATATTCATCCTTATTGTTTCTTTGAACATATTATACGACTACTGTCTTAATTATTATAGAAATGCCAACTCTCAAGGCATGATTATTATTTATTACTAACAAAGTGCTAACTTATTTTGTTTTTTCTGTTATGGACTTTATAAATAAAAATTGTGTAAATATTAATAATTAATATTTTAGCGGTAAAATTATGTATTTATTTAAGGCTGCTTTGTTTCATTAAAAGACTGAAGCAAAGTAGCAAGTATACTGTAGATTATTTATTTATTTTATATTATAAGAACATTTTGTCATTTTAGATAGTTTGAATAAACAATCATACATTTAGTTTAAAATTATATATATATATATATATATATACATGTAGTAAAGTTAATAGAGTTTTACAAACATTGGTTTATAAAAATATATAAACAATATAGGTATTATAAAAATTAGTTGTACTTTTTTACATAAATTTATAGTTACTACCACTTTATCTGACTTTTTATCCAATTTTCATCTACTATTTCAAACGGTATTTGTCGTTTAGAATTGATATTTTCTAATGTTTTTTTACTATTTTGATTACTAAAAATAATAATTGAATTATTACCTTAAACTTAAATGTGTACTTCATAAATTCAGAATACAAACCTTGAATGTACTACAACATGTGTAGTCTCATTATTTATTTTAGGACATACTGTTCCACCATTAAACTTAAAAATAATCATTTCTAATACTGAATTTAAATGAAAATTTCGAGTAGGTAAGTTGTCCTATTAATTATTCAAGTGTTTTATTAAAATAATGTATTACAGTTTCAAAAATTAATTACTTACCAGATCTAAATTGTCAAAATATACAAAACATTTTCCAAATGTTTTAAAACACGTAATTTCACTAAAGAGATCCCTCTGGAATTTAATGAAGCTTTCTTCAGTCATATTAACATCCTAAAATAGTATGTACTAATTTAATAAATTAATGGCTCTACGATTTATTTAATGAGGCCTTACATTTAATTCTACACGATTCATCGCCATACGCAAACTATCAACTGTATCATTTTCAAAGTAGCTATCACCATAATTATCAAATTTTTCATCCATTAATACTTTATGCTCCTTTGAAAGTGCTAAAACATCTTCTGGTGTCCAATTTATAAATTCATTTTCATTGAAACATAAAAGTATCCACTTAATATTAACTATGCTATGTTCCCCTTTCATTTTAATTGCATTAATACGAATATTAGTACCATTGGTAAGTACACAAAAAGTATTATTACCTATGATAAAGAAAAAAATTAATATGGAAAAAAATTAAAATATATTTAAATTTACTTGGATTTGGTATAGTAACTCCCCCATATTCATGTATTTTTCTTTCTATTTCGCTTTTAGATAAAGTTTCACTATCAGACATGACACAAAATTCTTTACCTTCAAGTATATCTGATGACTTTATAACACTACGTACATCAGTAACTCGAAGTTTTTTATTTAATTTAGGACTTTCTTGAGCTTTTCGAATTTTTGTCTGAGAATCACCTTTATGCTCATTGCATAACTTACCATCAGCTTGCTATTTTTGGATTAAATTATAGAAATCAGTACTTTTAAAAATAAAGTAAAATGCAAACCTTTAATATTTCTTCAAATTCTTTAACAGTCATACAATTATTCCAAGGTTTATCATATCTAACTTGTTGAATTCTTGGAAATCTTAACATTGTTCCACTTTTAAATACACTATTACTAACTATTTCAGTAGCTTTAATCTAATAGACAAAATATTTAAGCTCGAATCTATTTTTGTACATAATATGAAAGTGATTAAAATGTACTTGTAATAGAACAGATGATTTAGGGTCTATCCACAAATCTGGTTTTTCTTTATTCCAATCAATATTAGGAATCAATTCTCCAGGTTTTAATTGTTTCCAATGTGGATCTAATAAATTTGATAATTCGACTAACTCTTCATCTGAACACCCTGAACCCACTCGTCCAATAGAATAAAATTTTATAAAATTATCACCTGTTATGTTTATTAATGTGGTTATTATTTATGTATCAACATTTTTTAATAATTGGAAGATTTGTAAGTATTAAGTATAAGTTAAAATTATAATTTTAGGAGATAGTTCACATAATTTTAAATCATTCAATTTTTTTTACAAAAATTCTATTTGCCTAATAATTTTATTATTACCTTTTTCCATTAGGCCTAATAGAAAATGACTGATACTGTTTCGTTGTCGACCTTTACCGTAAAAACCTCCTATTATTAAAAGATCTAATTCAACCATTGTCCCTTTAATATACTGAAAAAGCAGAATAATATTTTATAACACAAATAATTGTTATTATTAAAAAGTATTTTAAAATTGGTTTAAATAATATTCTTACTTCAGGTTTAATTTTATACCATCCGGAGGTTCTTGTACCGGGTTTATAAATAGATAGTGGATCTTTAACTACTATTCCTTTATCACGGTTATCAATTGCTTGGTTTAAATAGTTTATTAGTTCGTTTCTAATTAAGTAAATAAAAGCAATAATAAATTATATTATTTAAATAATTAATATAGATAAACTAGACTATCCACGACTAACTTTTTTGCTACATGATGTGTAGCGAACATACAAATACCCTCTAAAGGTATTATAATAGTACTAAGAATTTCCAATCTTTTTTCAAGTGTTTCATTAGTCAAAACTTTATCATTTAAATAGACAACATCAAATACATAAAAACATGGCTGATGCGTGTTTCCAATTCGTAACATTTTTACATCACTGTTCATTACTAGAAAAATTAATTTTATCTTAATTAAAAATAACAAAATCTTAACAATGTATTGTCAAAATCATGTAATTCAATTTTAATAATTAGTGATTTCTTTAGTAATTGAAGGATGTAATAGAATGCGATATGAGGATTGCTGATGTGAGCGTAGATGATGTGAGTGATCGTGTCAAGTGGAAGTTTAGGATAAGGGTGGCCAACCCCAAGTAGTTAGGATTAAGGCGAGGAAAAAGAAGAAGAAGAAGTGATTTCTTTAGTAAAATAATTCTTAATAATAAACTATTTAACTGTTATTCATTACTTGCTATTTAAATAAATAAAGCTGATATACTTAAGAATTATAAGGGATCGACATAAAAATTTAATAAAATATAAAAAAAAAATTATATAAAAATTATTGCAATTTTGTGAGTAATTTATAAAAGAATCATTCTATATATTATACAATGTTTTAATGTATAATGACTACATATAATCAACTATTAATCATTCAATTAAACAGACATTTACAAATCATAAAATAATACATAACAGATAAATACATATTAAATCACTTAAATAAAAATGCCACAGGTCTTTGTAAAGGATATGGCGGAAATGATAATATCATCAGAATGAAAAATAAGTATGAACTTAACTGATGAAGGATGAAGAATATCGTGAGAGGCGAACAAGTTAAATAGAGAAATTCTAATATAACTTAGGACGGAGCAATAAAAAAAACCCAGCACAGGGGGGTCGCGGCACAGTGGTGACATGGGATAGTTGGATCAAGTATAATGATATCTGACAAGGATTAAAATCACTATCAAAAATAAACGCTTCGATGCAAATCTTTAGATAATGTTTAATTTTAAAAAAATTGGTGTTTTATTCCAAAAGCTACTTGATCTGCTGGTTCCTTATTAATATCTCGATTAAGATAAAGTATGTCGAATGAAAAAGGGTTTATTAAAAAATATTATTTCTCATAAAAAAATTGTGTGGATCCATAAACTTTTCAATAAGTTATAGCATTATAAAGTTAAATATAATATAAATAATAAAATCGAGAATTTTCACACGAAAATAGCATTCAGTAGCCATTTTCGCCGTGAAGACAAGTCCAGAGGTCAAATTTTTTTTTTCAAATTAAAGTATATTACATTAGCTTTAATTTAAGATATATATAAAAGGTCAGACCTTCAGGAACATTTTCAAAAGTTAATTTTTTGTGAAATAGTTGTCATTTTAAATCCCCTCCTGTGGGCAGAAAAAGGTCAAATTTACAAAAAAAATATACCAAATGATAGGTAAAGACATCAAGCATCTATAAAAAAAAGAATTATATTGATATGTTCATTTTTGAAAAAGTTACGGCAGTTTTTAGTAAAAAAAATTGACAAAATTTTGAAAATTAGCGATTTTTAAATTTTTAATTTTTTTGTAATTTTTTTTTCCCATTTACGGGGAACGAGGCAAATTTTTTCAATTTTTGAGGGTAAAGTCTTCGACTAGATACGATTTGTGATCTTTTGACGTATCATTGAAAGAAATCGGTTCGGTGAGAGCTAAGAAATAATGGTAACAGACACAAAAAAAAAAAACACATCTTAGTAAAACCAATACCTTCTCAGCTTCGCATCGAAGCTAAAAAAGATGAGAAAAGTCGTATGTAACTGCGTTTATGTAGAGGACGGAATTAAAGAGAGGAAACGCATGATAAGAGAGTAGATTATGATTTAATCTAAATCTTAAATATTTGTGTATAATGTTTCTGCATAAATCAAGATCAAGTACCCATGGTAAAGGAGTTTAATGTGAGTTATTTAATGATACAAATTTTCAGTTTTTATTTTTATCAACTGTCCTGACAAGCTTCGAGGATAGTCTGTTGAATGTGGCGATGAAAATCAGAAGCGAGAACATTACAGCTCAAAGGAGTAAATAAAAGGCTTGTTAGAAGTAGCTAGACGAGCCACAACTTTATTTACCGGCGTAACTAGAAACTCAGTAAAATAAAACAAATTGCTTGAGTAAATTTTGAACAGGAGAGGATTGAAGTAATTGTCCTGTGGTATGCCATGACGAATATGTGACGGATTTTGAGAGGAGTAAAGGAGCGACAGGACATAATTGCTATCTGAGAAGAGGTACATACCCTTTGGTACACTGTAAAAACACTTAATAAACTAGAGGATTTATATTTTTAAATGCTTTAGTACACTTGTTCACAGTGTTAATACAAGGGGGACCACCATATCGTAGAAGAGGGAAGTGACTTGTTAATTTTCTATATTAAGGAAAGAGACATTTTAGCAACTATAATAATAGTAGAAACAATCCAATTATAATCGTCAATGGGTAAGGTGATGGAGAAACTATAGATGAAAATATATATATAGTTTAGTAAAAATGGCTAATCTGCTTTTGAATAATTAGGTCTGTTAACAGTGTGTTGAGAGGTGATGAGAGGAGAGAGGAATTTGTTAGGGAGATAATAATAGAAAATTGATCACTGCCATATATGCAATCATGGTCACACTATAATAAATACCAACAAAAAGAGGTAAAGAAATGGTAAGATCAATGTTAGAATCCGTTTGGCAAAGGCAATTAACAAGGGTAAGAAACCCTTGTATGGAATATGGGAAATTCATATATAATATAACCACGTTGATTGAAGATTGGTAATTCCCAGAAAGGATGTTAACCGTTAAAGTCACCATCTATTAGAGAATTATGAGACACTAAATAAAATACTATTAAAAGAAGAAGGAATATAGACAGATCAAATGAAAATGAGATTGGATAAATTGGTAAACGCCTCCATACCAATTAGATTGATGGAGGATTCAAGGGTTGAGTTTGTTTAAGTAGGATCAATGGATATGAAAATAATTTGAATAGTATGATGGAAGGCAATGCTTAAACCATCAATATGATCGGAATGACTAATATAGAATTGTGAATGAGATATGAACTTATTTATAAGAAGCTATGTTTCAGGAAGGTAGGCAAAAAAAACATTTTATGTTAAAGAGGAGAAAAGAAAGGTTGTGAATTCTGGTAAGTGAACTTCTTATAAGTTCTAAAACTTCTTTCTGTCATTGTTAGAGTGGGAATAGTGAATGTTAATTAAAGAGATTCCAATGATTGATTGGAGTGTCAAAGAAGAAGAAATTAAGTTAGGGTCACAAGAGACTGAATAAGCAGTTGTGACAGAGAGGAAGCCCAGTTATGGTGCTTCAATTAAAATTCAGGAGATTGTCATTGAGTTAAATGAACCTTGCACTATAATTTATTAAAGGGGTAAAGAATTTGAAATTTTTTGTGTTTTTACTTTTTATTATTATGACTAATATAGTCATAGTAATAATATATTAAGACAAAATATTACCTTTAGTAGTATAAGATTTTAATTTGGTGTTGTAACACATAATGTTTCCATCTAAAATACAGTTTTTAACAGAGGAATGAAAGCATTTTGCTAATGCAGGACTTAATATTCCCATACTAGAGGTACTATCATAAGTATCTGTGTATTCATTACCCCGTCTGAAATATAAATATATAAAATTATACTATATTGTTATATATTTATTTATCAATAAACTACCTGCTAAAATATTTAAATAATTTTCCATCCCAATGTAATTGTAACCTTTCACCTTTTAACTTAGTATCCACATAAAATAAATCATTTTTTACTTTTATGGTCTTATCTAAATCTGTAATATTACATCTTTGGCTCAACATAGGTGTAAATGGATCAAACAATTTAATTGCAATTTCATGGAGTTTGTTTGCTGGATTATTTAACATAGCACATATCTTTAATAAAAAAAAAAAAAATTAATATCACAATTTAAAAATGTTTGATTCTATTATTACTTTAACTAGACTGTTGCTGACATTATACAATTCATTAGCATCTTGATGGTATATATTTAATATTTTTGTTTGTGTTATACCTAAACACATGTTTTTTAAGAGTAATCTGACCAACCATTTTTGTTGGAGAGCATTCATTTTTAATAGCATCATTTGTAAAATATTTTCTACTTGCTCTAATAAAATAAAAATACGCTTTTAAATAAAAATTATAAAGAATGAATCAGATCAGACTGATATAAATTTAACTTCTTATTCACTTTTAAATTATTCAGTCATAAAATAAAATGTTAATAATTAAATTTTTCTAAAAAGACTATATTCAACAAATGCTCAGAAAGTAGTCTAAGAATGTAAGAAACGTTAAGTGAATCAGAAGCCATTAGAGGTATAAGTAAAATCTGTTTATTTGTATACTAGAATTAATCAAAGAAATTACTGGGTTCATGATTGACATGTTTTAATATTAGGTTATCTAAATGTGAATTTATTTCATCAACAGTCATTATATCTTTATCTTCAAGTCTACTGTATACTGCTTGATAAACAATATCACCAAAATCCCCTACAGATGTTTCCGATATTTTGTGATGCCTAATTACAAAAATTAAAATCCACCAATGAATACAATTTTTTTACATAAATCAATCTATTACTACATTTGAAGATAATTCAAACCTAAAATTAATAAGTTTTTGAGCATCTTGGCTGTCTTTTGCTAATCTTAGTATATTTACATAAATTTTTCCTAACATTAATTCTTTAATGCTGTAAGATCCTCTTTCTTTATCCAAATCTGGAAGTAAACATCTTAATATTGGATAAAATGTTTCTTCCTATAATATTTAGTAAAAATAAGGTTAAATAATGCAAAATATTTTAATAATATGATTGAGTATATAAATATTGAAAACAAATTTGATAATAAATAAGTGAATAAATGTCACTTAGACTCACAATTTTAATATCAGAACTTTGTTCTATGGTACCTCTATACATGCCCATGAACTTTTGAAGAATAGCAACTTTTCTTTCACTTAATGCAGCATTGCTTATATCTTCACATGCCCGACAAAATAATTTAAATGATATTTTACCAGTTGAGTTATTTTCCATTATTATTGTTCACAACAAATAACTAGCATAAAAATAATTAGGAGTTTATTATAACATAAAACTGATGTAGGTAAAATAAGACAGTGGTAAAACATTATATAGCACACAATAATAAAAAGATTATATCAACAATTTTTAATGAAAAAAGTAGAAAACTAATAACAAATGTTTCTTATTAACTTAAAAACATTATGAGCATAATAATGCCCATAATCTTGTATATTAAATATATCTCTACATGGGCTTAATGCAGTTAAAATAAAAATAATATCACACTTGATTATAACTTAAATACATTAATGCTACATCATAATTTTCTGAACTTTTGTATATTAAGTATAAATTATAAGCAGCAGCTGCCTTTAGACAATGATCTTCTTGAAATGGTTCTAATTCCAGAACTTTTTTATAGTAATGAATAGCTTTTGAAACCATACCAACTTCATGATATGCTCTTGCAATATTATAATAACATTCTTGTTCATGTTCTTCACCTCTATGGTCTTTATAATTCATTAAAAATCCAATACCTTGAAGTATTAAGCTATGTCTTTCTGTGCCTACTTTAAATGTACAAAGTCTAAGTACAAGAACTCCTAACATAAAATATAAAGTACTTTTATCTTCAAATTTACTTAATAGCTCAGTATACCTGGATACAACTAATTGATGGTTATATGAGTCATTAAATACATTAGTGTCAAGAATATTTAATGCAATATTATCAGGATACTTAGCAGCTAAACGAAATATAAACTTTGCTTGCTTTTTTACTGTACATAAATTGAAGAAAAAATTGTAAATATTAGCTAATTGTGGTGCTTGTGGATGTTTCATTAAAAGACGCCTAGCTAACATAAAACCTAATTTATAAGCACGTACTTTATAAGCATACTTGATAGAATTTAAAATAATTTGATTATTAAAAGGTAAAAATATTGTTGAATTAATAGCTGAAAGCAACATTTTTAAAGGTTCATAATTATTGTTTTTTTCAGTACATTTTTCACAAATTTTTATTAACAAATTCCATTCATCTTGAGCTGAAGGTAATGGATTAATAGTTAAAATAGTTTCAGGACAAAAATTTTCAGCAACTTTTTTCATAATTAGTAGGGCATCATGACGATATTCTCCTTTTTGAATTGCCATCATAGTTTTTACTTCTCCAAGTGAATTTATTGGTACACAGTGACGAGATAACATAAGTTTGGTTGCTCTTAAACAATCATCAAACTTTTGGTCATTATCAAATAAAATAATAGCATATTCATACAAAAGTCGGCATTCATAACTATCAAAAATACCATTTTGTAAAACTTCAAAACTTTTTCCTATTTTATTAAGCTGTTTTAATGACATATACAAGTCAAACTTTACTTTTAAATGTTTAGGATTACTTTCTAGTAATTTATTGTAATTATCTACTGCTTTTTCCAAATGACCTAGGGTTTTTAAGCAATCTGAATACTTAATTTTTATAACAGTTTCATCAAATTGACCATTATTACATTTTAATAATTTTTCATAAAATAATATTGCATGGCCATGTTGGTCATCATCAAACAAAGCATTAGCAATATCCATATGATATTGACTTGCCATTGGTAAATCTAATAAAGGTTGATAAATGTTTGATAGTTTCGAGTGTGCTTTAAGGTGAATAAGAGTTTCTATTAATTTTACACGAACTAATACAGGCATTGTAGGTGGAACTACACATTCAACAACTTCAGTAATAATAGATGTACCTTCATGTAAATCAGCAACAAACTCAAAACCATAATATTCAACTAATAATTCAAAACATTTTTTATAATTCTTGAGTTTTATTAGATAATCTAAGCAGAGAGAAAAATCTTTAGGATTAATATCATCAGGAAATTTTTTAAATAAATAGATCATAATATTTGATGCACGATCATATTTGTTTTCTTTTACAAAACTATCAATCAATAACTTTGATAGAGCTAAAATTGAATCTTTTTGATCAGGTCTTAATTTACGAAGTAGGCGGTCATATTCATTTAAAATAGTTTTGGCAGTACCTAATTTTTCTAATATCGAGGCTCTTTTAATATGTAAATCTAGATTTCTTTTATCTTTTTGAATTGCTTTAGTTAGACAAAAATCAGTGAGTGATAACATGTTATTTGCTTCACAATTTTCTCCTAACAATACCCAATCCTCGGATGTAACAGAACTTAAACTACTTCCAATAACAGCAGTTTCTAAACTTTTCTTCATATCACCCATTTGTTCATAAATATCTGACAATGTAAAAAATGGTTCTGAAGCATTGGGACATTCTTTTAATATATTTATACATATTTGAATTGCCATAGAACAGTTTTTTTGAATCATCATCATCTTGGCTTGTCCTATCAAACCTCGTAAAGCTATTGGTATTTTCCCCATCTGTCTAGATCTAGGTAATTCTACAGCAGATTCATCACCACTACAACTTAATTTTCTTTTTATACTAGTAGAAGGCTTACTCTCAGATTTTTCTTGACTAACTTCATAGTGTTGAATAGTGTTTCCTTCTAAATTGTAAACAACAGCTAATTCTTCAGCATCAGTAGAATCAGAAGGTACTACGATCTTTGTTTCAATAGTAGCTGTTTCATTTTCTTGTACCAATAAACTATCAAATATATCATCATCTAATATAATGTCTTCATCTGGATTATTTTCTGCTATGATTACAGAAGAAGAATCATCCAATCCCAAGTTGTCATCAAGAACAACTTCCATGTCCTCGATGTTTAACATGTTTTCAGACATTTTCAACAAAATTAGAAAAATAACGTATTAAATAACTTACCAGCAAAATGTGAAGGTCTATTTTGGATATTTTACATAAGATAGAAATTTTTATCTTAGATTTGTATTATGTAAACAATAAGATGATGGTGTATAATGTTTATAATTTTTTATCATAAACCATTATCAATAGATTTAAAGAGATGAACATAGTAACACTCAGTAAAGTCAGTTAGAAGACTCTTTTGAGTTTATCGAATTTTTTCGTCTACAACTTCAAGAATTTATTTCAATACAAATAAAAGTTGCAAAAAACGTTGAAAATTAGTATTTTGATGATGTGACGGTGTAGTTATAAATAATAAAAGGTTTATACAGTTTTTAAATTTTGACTATTAGAAGTTTTGTATTAATAAAACAATGTCCCATAATAATCTAAGGTGACGAATGCTTAACGGGAAATTTTTAGTATGGCCGATGAATCATTATTTTCGGACGAAGAATTATTTGGTAATGTTTTAAGTATAAACTTAGTAATTTTCAATGGATAATTACTTTTGTCATTTAAAGTATTAGGAAAAAAAAACACAATTAAGTTGTTGAATCAATTATATTATTATTGGATCTATTTGAAGTTTTTTTCATTCGTATTATTTTAAATGTTTATAGTTTATCCAAATGACAAACAATTTTAAAATAAATAAACAATTTGGAAATTATTTTACCTAAGCAATTTTGACTGCTGCTGTACTTTAAATTACATAATATGATGACATGGCCTGTTATTCTTAAATTATGTGTGTTAAAGTCATCTAAAATTTTGATTAATAGTTATTCACCTAAGCTGTTAACTTTTTAATTCTTTAACAATAATCTCTTTATTCAAATTTATGATTTATATAGGTTTTTCTATGTATAAATATTATGCTACTGATCAATCAATATAAATTTAAATTAATATAATATCAACTATTATTTTACCTATTTATATAAATATAGAAGAATCTTGTTTTTAATAGGTATTTTTTTAAAAATAGTATTTTGTTCATGATACATTTTATTTCAACAAATAATTATAATATATATATATATATATATTTATAATGTTTATAATTCTATAAAACAATTTTTTATGTTAAATAAAATATTTTTTCTTTAAGTTAAAAATTATATAATTTATTTATTTTAAGTATGTTATTTTTGTAGATTCAAATGAATGTGTGGTAACACTAACAAGTTCAGTCAGTTATGAAGATGAATATCAGTCATTGCTATTTCATAACAGAGATAGAATAATATCAAAATTGAAAAATGATTTATCAAATGTTTTACCACCACCACCAACAGTGACTACTTGTCGGCTAAGTGTAGATGATATACTTACTAGATGGTACCAATATCAAAATTCAAAATCACCTTCTAAAAAAAATAGAACAAAAGAATTGAAAAACTTTGATAGAGCAAAAAGCTGGCAATGGCCACAAGTTGTGAATGTTCAGTGTTTTGATGTTTAGTAAGTATATACAATTTTATAATTTAAGTAAGTGTTAAATCTTTGAATGTTTTACAGCTACAATGTTGATAATAAATCTGCAGAAATGGCATTATTGGAAACTAAATATCAAGAGAGGTATGTTTCTAATGAGACTAAATCACTAATGAATACAGGTAAAACTCCACAACCGAAGAGGGAGCGTGGTTTAACCAGATTACCAGCTAAATTGCCTGATCAAAAATCAATATTACGTAGAAAACCTATATCAAAACCACAAATATTGGCTGAAGCTAAAGCAAAATTAGCTCTTGTTGAAAATAAACGTAGAATTCTTGTGCCAGGGTAAGGTATACTACAGTATTTTATAAACTTATAATTAAATTAAACAAATTTTCATAGAAAATTGAAAAGAGACAATATTGTTAAACCACTTGAAAAAAGTTATCTTGAAAACAAAAATAGTAGTGTAAAAACATCTGGTCACAAAAGAGCATTGTTCCAAAGTCCTGAGACTTATTTTCATTCCAGAAAACGAATGTGTTATAGTCAAAGTTCAGATATAGATTCCCCACGACCTCCTAGTGCTTTATCTATATGCAGTGATACATCAAATACAACACCAGTAAAAAGGTAATTTTTTATAATTTCTGTATTATATTCATTAAATTTCTATTGAAATTAAAAATATGCATTACTATGTTTAAAATCTTTTGTTTTCTAAATAAATCTGTAGATATTTATTATATGACTACATTTTTTTATGTGTCTCTTTTTTTTTCATTATTTTTGAAAAATCTTCTATTTAAATTATTAAATAGGGTTATGTGAAGTAATTATAATTTAATGGAAATTTAATTCTATTATAATATGAATTTTGAAGATAAAGCATATAAATTTAAGAATTTTTTTTATAAAAAAACTTTAAAGTTTAATTTTTTTTTGAATGTTTACAATTGCCCCACAAATTTAAAAATCATGAATAAGTAGTTATAGCATTTTATTTAAAAAATAAATATTTCTAAATTTAATTTGAGTTTAAAGTTAATAAATATTATTTTGTTTCATTTAGAAAAACTCATGTATTATAACTATAAAGCAAAATTCATAAAAATGCCTTATGAAGCTGTTTTACTAAAAAATTAATTTTTTAAATAAATCTTAAAGATTTGGTTAATCTAAAACACAATGTAACAATGTTTATAAATATGCAATTTGATTATTTTTAACATCCTTAAATGTGTGTCTACAATTATACTAGTTAGATATTTTTTAGAGGTCATATTAGAACCGGGTAAAAAGCCTATGTTAGTTATTGTAATTTGTTTTTCATTTTTTTTAACACATACAATAATCATTTTTTTTTATAACATTTGTGTTATCTCTTAGATTTTTTTCAGTATATTTTAGTTTATGATGTCTGGGAAAAATTTATAATTATATGATAAAAATTCATGTGGACTGTATTGATCATCAGACCTAGTTATTAAATAAATAATTTTGTTTTTTACATATATATATGTATATATTCTATGTAACTAATATAATATTTAGGGTTAATATTTTGATAAAAATATGAACACAATTATAGATTTTTAAATTATTAATCATTAAAATTATTATTTTTACTTAAAATACACTTCTATAATTTGTATCATATTATTTTTCATTTTATTGGATATAAAATTTCTCTCAACCAAAAAAAAAAACAAATAATAATGAAAATTTATAATTCAAATGATGATTATTTAGAATACAACAACCCATGAAAGGTTTCAGACATTCACATAAAAAATTAATGTTTTATCAATCAATTCTTGTTTTTTATAACTTAAGAATACATATTAATTTTTATTAGGTATAGTGCTGCACCCCAAAGTACTCAATTATTTGAAGAAGAATGTGATAATAAAAACTCTAAATTAATAAGAACAGAACCAGTTAAAAAATGCCAAAGAACCTTAAATTTCGTGAATTTATCAGAATCAACTAATAAAACAAATATTTCAGTTGAGAGATTAGAACCAAAGGTTTTAAGTCATGTTCATAAACAGGTTTAGTATATAACTGTAGTGATATTATTGAAAAAAAATAAATTATAATTATTAAGTATTGTGTATAATTTTCAGAAATTACTATGGGCTGTGTCTGAAGTTTTAAAATCCTGTGGTATAGATAGTCATCACAAACAGTTCCGCCCATTCCTTCAACAATTGTTCAAAGTTTGTTCTAAACAATGGTTAGAACAAACTGGTATTGGTCTTAAAACACGCACTAGTGAAGCAATGCGAGATTTAGTGATGAAACATAAAAATACGGTTTTAAAATTGAAAGCTGTATCTCCCAAAAACTCATCAATAACCAAAGATGTCGTTACTACAAAACAAAAATCAGTAGCAGATGTTAGAAAAGTTTTATTTACTGACACAACTCCCAAATCTGACTTTAAGTTTAAAAAGTTTGGCTCTGAACTAAAAAATGACAAAAGTTCACCACCTGCAAAAAAGAATACTATTCATTCAGATGAACTTGATGACATAACTGTTTTTTTTGACATAACTAAATTACCAAATAAAATTACAAATGACCAACAAAATAGGCCTTTATCTTCTACTTCAGACTATTGTTCTAATTTAGATATAGATTCTAAAGAATCTGAAAGTTTGTTAGCTAGATAATTCTTTTTTTTTTTTAATTCATGACTAGGAAATTTTTTTTAAATAATTTTTTTTCAATTTCATATCTTATTAAATATTTTCTCTTTTGTTTAGGCTTATGTTTAATTGTTTCTTTGTGAACATATTTAAATTTAAATAATACTCTAAGATCAATTATTTCTAAAAAAAAATTTTAATTGTCTTCATAGTACTTATATTATCATTCAAGTGCTTTATTGAGCATCGGTTGGTTTTATAATCAAATAGTTTTATTTACTTATTAAATATAATTTGTTTTTATTAGTGTTAATATTTAAAAAATTATTTTCTGACTGATTATTTTTATTGTTTAAAATTTTGATCTCTATATTAGTATGATGGTTTTTCTATTTGATATTGTATGGTTAGACGCTTAATATTGGGGATTAGTGTTTTTATGTATAAATAATATATTAATTTTAAACTCGGGTTTTTAATTAGAAATAATTGATTTTTAGTAAAGATTTAAAAAATAGCTGTAAGATTGTTAAGAAAAACTTTATTGTTTATAAATATGATACTTGGCTATATTCAGGAAATGTTCTTTATATCATATTTAAATAATCCAAATATATTCTATTTAAACAAAATATTATTTTTAATTTGTCAATTTTTTATTTTCTGTGAATGTATTCTGTAATCATTAATATTTTAAATGAAATAATTTTATATTGTACTGAATTTATTTATGTCTTGTACAACAAACAGAAGTCCCTTAATTGTTATCATTGTTATTACTATTGATAAAATTTACATATTTTTACATTATCACTGAAAAAAACATTGTTTTAATATTTGCTAAATAAATCATTTAATCACAAATTGTGTGAGTGTATTTTTTGGGGCTTGTTTAATAGTTGAGGATCTTGGTCAAAACCAAGAATCGGAAGCTATCCGACGTCTGCCCAAATATCGTTCCTATCTCCTTAAATGAGTTTTGATTGCCTGAAGGAGAGACAGGCAATCGTGTACCTTAGTTACAGAGGATAGATTATTAAATAAAATTAGACTATTGTTTTATGTCAACGACAAAGTAAAGTTATATTTTAGATGTTTAGTAAATATAAGTTATATGTAATGTACAATACGTCTGACCTGAATCCTAGTACAGTTGGTTAGTAGGTATATCCATGTGAGACGGAGTTGGTTGGTTATGATGACAATTGGCGATAGACGGGTCGTTGAATAAAACAAGTTAAGTTATAAATAAGACGTAAGTAATAATATTGAAAACTATGTCTATAACGGCCACTCGAACACAACTGCCCTTTGTTAGTTCGACGTCAATAGCTCCGGGCTACAGACGAGTAGAATTGTCACATCAGCATCTCCCTCTATGCTAATTAATATGTATTTCGAATTAAATAAATAGAAATAAAACGTGTGTAATATAAGTGGTAAGAACATAGTAATAAATGTTCTTACAGTATGTTAGATATTTTAATACTATGACATATAATTTATTACTAAAATGATATATATCTTATAATATTAAATATTTTATTTGTAAATTATATGATAGTCATTCTATGACTTTTATGTAGGATCGTATTAGTAAATTATCTTAGTGGGTGAATTTAGATAAAATATTTGTATATAAAACGGACATAGATATATAGTACAGTAGGTTTCGCCTAGCTGACCCTTACGCGCCTTCAACTTGTAAGTAAACCACTGATTCCGCTAGAGGTACTCGGCTTCGCCGGTCACGATAAGTGATTTGCAAGAAAAATATTACATCAGAATCAGTGTAACAAAAATATAATTATTAAAATCAGGAAAAATCAAAAAGAGAATATAGTAAAATGTATTAAGGTATTAAGTATAAGGTTAACATTTATATCTTATTAAAATACTGCTTAATAATCAAAACATAATATTATAAAAAAAAGATAGTTAATAAACTAACTCGATCAACTTTTATATGATAACAATTACATAGATTAATTATGAATTGAATAGAAAATTAAATCGTTATAAAAATACATATTTACAAATTAAGGGTCACAATAAACATATGCGCAGCAATGAGTCAATAACCATATTAAATCCGTGAGGTTGGACTTAAAAATCAAAAAAAGGTCGTAAAACGGTGAAAAATAAACTGATTGAATTGATTTTTTTTAAATATCTCAGAAATGTCATTGGGTGGGTCTGGTGAAAATTTCAAACCTTAAGTTGTAAAATGCTGGTGTCGGCGAGCGTTTTTCTGGGAAACGGTCGAAATTTTAAAACGTTCTCAGGCGAGCGGCAAAAATTTTCCGACTTTCGACAATAGTTTTTCCAAAGTCTCGTGACTGAGTACTTTCGTTGAAAAAAAAAATTTGAAAATCCGAGCACGCTAAGTAATTTTCCCAGAAAAGCGTTTTTTCCTTGTTCTATTATATAATAAGATGTTTAATTTTTTTTTTTAGCTTCGATGCGAAGCTGAGAAGGTATTAATTTTGCTATGATGTGTTTTTTTTATTTATTTATTTATTTTTTTTTGTGTCTGTTACCACTTTTTCTCAGTTCTCACCGAACCGATATTTTTCAACGATACGCCAAAAGATCACAAATCGTATCTAGTCGAAGGCATTACCCTTACAAATTGAAAAATTTCCTTCATTTCCGGTAAATGGAGTAAATCTCCAAAAAAATTACTAATTTAAAAATCGCTAATTTTCGAAATTTTTTAAAAATAATCAAATCATTATATATATATTTTTTATAGATGCATGATGTCTTTACCTTTTATTTGATATATTTTTTTAATAAATTTGACCCTTGACCTGCCCACAGGGGGGGATTTAAAATGACCACTTTTTCACAAAAAATTAACTTTTTAAAGTGTTCCGGAAATACTGACACTTTTGTATATACCTTAAAATAAAGCTTATGTAATATACTTTATTATGGAAAAAAAAATTTCGGACTTTATTTTGTCTTCAAGGTGAAAACAGTCACCTTATATATATATATATATATTATATATTTATATATTTATTTATTTATTCATATATTACACTTCTAAATCATAAAACTTGTAATCAGAATATAAATAATGAAATAGGAGATACTGTAGCTTTTGGAATAATCCATTAACTTTTTTAAATTAAACACTATCTACAAATTTGCATCGAAGCGTTTTTTATGATAGTGATTTTAATCAATGTCAGATATCATCTATGCTGGACCCAACTATGCTATGACCCCACTGTGCTGCTTTTTTTTTTTTTATTAGCTTTTATTATGAAAATATTATAGCTCGACAATTATATAAGAAAGATTAATGACGTAAAAGTAAATAATAATGATTTAGAGAATTGCAGGTGTTTAACAGTATTGTATTATTTGTTTTAAACAAAAAATTGTGGAATAAAATATAAAATGAAGAATACTCGCACGAATTTTCAAATATACAGATTTAAATATTTTACTAAAACCTCAACATCGATACTAATCAAAACAGTACTTGAGTTTTAAAAAAATGGTAAGTATTTTATATCGCAATTTTTATTTCATATAGGTAAATACTGAATTACTGAATATAAATATTAATTATTTAAAAAAAGAACAATATAAAAGTAAAAGGTTTTATTTTAAATTACAATTTAATAATAAATTAAATCATTACAGTATGATATAAATAGTAATAATATTGTAATTTGGTAGTTTTATCATAAAAGATTTTCGTCATTATCATATACAACTTTAAATTAAAAGTTACCTATATAATTTATACGAATATTTCGGATGGTACACGGAAAGAAGCCTAAAAAACACGAGATTGTAACGCTGAGTTATCTATATAAAAATATAAAAAAATTTCTATAGCATAAATCAATATTCAATATAAAACTTTTAAATTGATTTTGAATTTGTTTTTAACCATTATTTGTCGATTATGATTAAATTTTAAATTTTTGTCTTGAAAAAGTGTAAAATATGACTTATCGTCTTATTTACAGACACTCGATAGTTATTTTTATACAACATTTTCAAATATCAATACGTTTATATAATCAGATTAAAAAATTAATAAACAGCTAGTTAAATGTGTGTACACCTGTGTAAAAATACACAGTTGGTGAGCAACCATAGGTATATCTAAATCAGGTTAACATCTAAATTTTAATAAAATACTTGTCAATTGAAATAAATTAGAGTAAATTTTGTTGAAAAAAAATAATGAGAAGTACATTTGACAAAAAATTAAAATATAAATATAATTTGACGATTAATCAATATAAATTGTAAAACGTTAAAAAATTGAATTGCGTATTTTGGATCAGTTCACTGAATAGAAAGTATATTTTTTAGGAGCATTTTATTGCGTATGATTTTTTTTTGAATTTATAGATTATTGTTATAATAGAATAAAAAATAAAAAATTTAATATTTTTCGAGGATAACAAATTTAGTATGCAATATTCGAATACGCCACACGAATAATTATTTAACATTTTATTAAACTAGTTATAAATAATGAGTAATAGCATAATTAGGGCTTTACTATGGGGAAATAAATATACAAAAAACTTTAAACTATATCCATAAAACTATATATAATGTATCTTCACTACAATTAATTTTTAAATATGTTATCATTACGTAATATTATAAGTCATATATTAAAAAAACGTTAGTTTTAAGTAAGTGTGTACATGGTAAGTGACTACGACACATCTATATTTTTCTTGTGTTCATCGTTTACTTTTGACAGTGTCATATTAAAGAGTTGTACTTAAATATATAAGTTACGTCTTTATTAATTGTTCTTTAAAAGAACTTCTTTTTATGTTTTAACTTTTAACATATATATATAAATATATAATGAAAATTATATTAAAACATGTCTAAAAGGGTGGAACAAATCTACTTTTCTGTACAGCTTTTTTTTTCAAACCATGTATTTTTTTACTTATTTCAAAAGTGTTTTGACCAATAAATAGAAAGATTGGTGATTTTCTGTGCAGTAATTTAAGACAACCCCAAATTTTATATTCACGCGTTTAGATTTTGGGCTTATACGCAATCTTAAACGTTCAAATCATCAAATAAATACATGAAACTTTTTTCTTTATTTAATGTGTTCATAAAATTAAAAGAAAACCGATTATTTTGCATTGGTTTCATTTGTAACTTAATTTTTACATAAATTACAAATTTACAACATTGATATATTTGAAAACAAAACGTTTTTTACGTTAAACATATTTTTTAGTATAATTAACTTGAAATAATTATAAGGATTTATTTAACAGTCTATAAGTCCAATCATTTAATATTTAGTTGCCTCTCCTTTAGTCTCATAACAAGCTTAAACCCTTCTTACCATAGATTCTGTAAATTTTCCACAGTAAATTTGACTTAAATTTCACCCTCATCGAGATTATCTTTGATCATTCTCTCAATTTGATCGCAAGCATTTTTTATTATGTTGAGATCTGGGGAATGGAGACTATTGCATTGAATAGTTATTCCGCTATAGTTGTTGTCACCTGTTATAACTACAAATCGATATTGTTCTTTAAATAAAAATCACATTATTAATTATTGATGTCTACTTATAGACGTGTACTTTATGTTCAATTCAAAAGTTTAATATTGTTCATTATTAAACGACCGGCGTAGAAAATTTTTCTTGAAAACTACATAAAAATATTTATAATCTATTGAAACAGATTATTGTTACATTTGGTATTATAAAACCAAATTAATTACGAAGGAAATTTTAAGTCAAATTTTTTTAACAATTTAAAACGCAAATGTTTGATCAGAAAAAAAATTATAAAAACAAAATTGTTTGACATTTTCTTTTTTAATCAACAAATTAAAAATAGAAGTTCCCATTAAAAAAAGTTAATGTTTAGATTTTTTATCCCTCAAGAGATGAGAAACAAATTATTTAACTATATATATTGTAATTTTTTTAATCAAACAATATTTTACTTTACGAACATTTTACATCTTCAATAGATAAATGAAGTTTAAAGGATAAAAAGGTTTTAAAGTCCTCTGAAGTTAAAACTTTGTTTGATCTAATAAATTATAATTTATCACAATTTTTAAGTAAGATTTTACGTTAAAAATTGGGTTTGGGTCTCAGTAAACAATTTTGGCAAACAATATGTTGGCCCTGTTGTTTTTTTATTATAAATATACATAATTAACAACTTGGTTTTTAAAGTCAAGTCAATTAATATGATTTCAGAATACGTTAATCTCTTTAATGGCTGTTATATTTCTATGTTTTTCATTAACAACTGGTAATGTATATACTTCATAATTATATAATATAAATAATTATACTCATAATGATCAATATAAATAGTTTTCTTAATTATGCTTTTGCATTTTTTTTTTCAATTTTAAATTTGAGTAAAAGAAAAAATATTTATACTTAATTAAATTTATGCAAATAAATTTCGTTTTTATTATCATGTAAAAAAATTAATAAAAAAATATGACATTTTTTTTTTACTGTTAAAAATATCAATTTAATTATTTGATTTTAGTAATCTACTATTTATAATCCAAACAGTTATTATTGTAATGTAACATTATTACATTATACGACTCTAGAAAATAATTTTTTTAAATCCATTTAATATGTAATTTGAAAAAGTTTAAGTCAAATTTTTTTATGTCCTGGTGGTCTATATATGATTATTATTACATAGTAAAAATTACGATAGTTTTATATTGTATTAGTTATTTTTGTCTATTGTTATACCGTCAAACAATAAATTTCACACTTGGTGCGAACTAAATTTATCAGACATTCAATAAAAAATAATTTACACAAGTTTCATACTAAAAAATTATGTATAATATATAATATATTATATTATAAAATTTGATTGACAAATTTGAGACAAATTTTGTTTTCTTTTCTTCCATTTTTTAGTTTCGATGTGAAGCTGAGAAGGTATTAATTTTACCATGATGTGTTTTTTTTTGTGTTTGTTACCACTAATTCTCAGTTCTAATTGGTCCGATTTTTATGAACAATGTGTCGAAAGATCATAAATCGTATCTAGTCGAAGACATTAACCTCAAAAATTTTAAAAATATTCCCTCTTTCAGGAAATCTCCCAAAAATTTACATTTTTTCAAATTTTTTTATTTAAAACTTTTTCAAAAATTTATGGATCAAAACTAAAATTTGTTTCTAAATTCTTAATAGACAGAGTGTCCCAGCATTATCCGACAACTTAAATAACTTTCGATCCAATTAATTTTTTTTAATTGTTAATATACTTGAAATTATACCAAAATAATAATTTAATTAATATTATTTTTTAAATTAAATTTTTAAAAAAGTGTTTAACTTGTATGATTTTTATCTCATTTGGATTCAATAATATCAATGAAAATCAAGGTACCCATTCCTGTAGTCTTCCCTTGTGAGAAGAAATGTCTTATTCATATTAAAATGATTTTACACGTGGTTTTTTTTGTGGCTATCATTTTTTAACCTCTAGTACATAAAATAAGCTTTATTTTAACATATATTTAAAAGACGCACATTTTCAAAAGTTAATTTGAAATAGTTCATGTTTCCAAAAATTCAAAAAAACTTTTTTAAACTTTGACGAGGTACTATAATGAAAATAAGTATAAATTTATATTTTATTTCAGTTAGAATCATGTAAATTTTATATTTATTAGTGGACTCATTATTATGATAAACCCTTATAAGATTTTTAAAAAATATATATAAAATTTGAACACAAAAATAGTATGTTTTTGAAATTTACCTAAATAAATTTTAATTTTCGGGGGTAATGTCTTCAACTATATACGATTTGGGATCTTTGGATGTATCGTTGAGAAAAATCGTTCCAATGAGAAGTGAGAAAAATTAGTGACAGACATAAAAAAAAAATAAATAAATAAACACATTATGATTAAATTAATACCTTCTTAGCTCGCATCGAAGTTAATAATATATATTATTAAGAGTAAAATTTATAAATTATCGGATTTTTTTATATGATCAATAAAATTCACCAAAAAATAGCTTAACCCGCTTTTAAGATTAGTAACAACCATGGGAAATGAGTTATAGTCATTAAATTTTTGCCCTCCCATCTTTTTATTAAAATTACTTATTATATTTATATCGTAATAAATCATTCAATAGAAATATTAATAATTTATATGTTACTCTTGGTATTTAAATAAATGATACAATTAAAATATTTAGAACTATTCTCCTTATAATTACCTATAGTTTTTGAATAATTAGTAATAATTTAAAAAATTAGTGGTTAAAGAAAAAATCTAATTGCATATTAGAAATTGGTACGAAAAATTGATTAATAAAAGTATATTTTAATTAAATCCTTGTAAAATTTTTAATAAATAATTAACAACAAAATTATTTTCTGAAAACTTTTGCATCGAGCCCTTCGTTTTTTATACACGTATGTCATAAAAGTAATAATTACTTTATAATTTTTTATAAATTCTCTCAAAAAATTTAAATACTTAATTATTAAATATTAATTTCATACTATATTTAATTGCTATAATAAATATTTATTCATATATTATACTTCTAAATAATAGAATTAGTAATCTGAAATAATGAAGGAAATAGAAAATTTTGTTGCTTTTGGTATAATCATTCAATTTCTTAAAATTAAACACTATCTACAGATTTGCAACGAAACGTTTCATATGATATAGATTTTAATCACTGTCAGATATCGTCTATACTTGTCTCAACTATGCCACGTCCACATTGTGCTGCGGTCCCGTTGTGATACTGTTTTTTTTCTGTGAATAGGTTAGAAATAGAAAAGATACACAACAACTAGAATAATTGGAAATTAGTGAATTGAAATTAAACAGTATAAAGTATATGTAATGCGTATAGTTATTAAAATAAATAAATAAAATTAAAAGATATTTAAATTATATTAAATAATATTTTATAAAAATTTTTAATATAAATAGTAATAGAAATTAAATATAATATGAAATTGATATTATTATATTTAGTATTGTCATTTATTTATTAAATTATTAAATTTAAATTAATCAGTTTTCATCAATGGGTATCAATATATCATGTAATGTTTTTACTAAGCTATAAGTTATTTTGCTAAATACTTTAGTTAAGAGATTTAATTAAAGGGTAAGGATGATAACTTGCTCTACCTTCGCCTATTTTTTCTTCACTTATGAAAACTCTTTATTGGCAATTATATTTGTTTTCATTCATAATAAGAATATGGATTTATTTAAGATTATATTTAAGTACTGTATTACTAATCAGTATCGATATGATCCTAAAAATTACAAAACGCACAAAAATTAAACATTTTCTACAAATTTGCAACGAAATATGATAGGGATTTTAATCACGGTCAGATATCATCTATACTTGTCCCAAATATACCACGACCACATTGTGCTGCTACGCCAGAGTGCTATCGTTTTTAATAATGTATTCTATCATTCGTTTATGTTTTGTCGAAAATCATGTAATGTAGTTAATTATTATTTATTTTTGTTTTTTGTTATCATAATTCCATTTAGGCTTAATTTTTATATAAGAGAATAATGAAAATTTAATTATATATATGACACTTGACTAAGTACTACTATTTAAGTTAAACACTGTTGATAAACTCATAGGGGTTTGTTAATTCAATATTAAAGATATCTACACAAATATTATTTTCTATTTAACTAATCGAAGTGGACAGTTAATAAATTAATGAAATTATTTTATACGTGTAAATGTACTAAAAATATTTTTTAGATTACCAACATAAATATTGATTATTTATTTTTAAGTATTTTTGATTAATTAATTAATTTTTCTTTTTTAATTAAGCTATACCAATATGTACGAGTGATAAACGTGTTGATGTAGTAGGTAATATTATTGTATACATGTAAACCTATAAAAAAAAAAATGTATTGTTTATTATTTTTTTTCGTATTTATTTATAATTAATTATTTAATTTTTTTTTTTGTACTTAAGATGTACCATTATGTTTGAATGATAAGTGTGTTGATGTAGTAGGTAATATTATTTTATTTTAATTTTTATGTGTATGAAGTTTTATAATATTATATAGTGAGATTTAACTTGTAAATTACATCTAGAAGGAGCATTAACTCCAGTGAGAAGACAAAAGATTAAAGGTAACAGCATCTAAGTGTTTTTTTTAGTAAAACATTTTGTTTGATTATACAATCATTAGTTATTTAATTTACACATGATGAATATTGTAAATAATATGTTGAAATTGAAGTATTTAGATTATTTGGTTTATACTGTGTACTTTTATGTAAATTATACAAAACTGTTAATATTTTTCCAACTCCTACTAATTTCATTATTGAGAATGATAATATTCTAATAATGTCTACATAGTAATAAAAGAATAATTTCTAAAATCTTTACTTACTAAATTATTATGTTATGATATATTAGAAATAATATTTATTTAATCGTATTAAGAGCAATACAACTATCATTATATTCATATTTCATTATCATCATTTATTTAAGGCATTGCCTTGTCATTGAAGCCACTCTTCTCTGTTTTTCCTTGGGCGTTTTGGGTTTCTTCCAAGTTTTCCTTCAGTTTTCCTTCGAAGATTGATTATAAATTTATTGTGTCGGATGATGTATCCGATTACATTTATATTTCTTAATTCATTTACTTTCATTATCTGTCTTTCTTTTCGATTTTTTCTAGTACTTGCTCATTTTTTTTCTTGTCTATCCATTTTGTCCTTGTAATTTTTTTCAATATCCGTAACTCTAATGCTTATAGATTTTTTCTGTTTATTTTGTGAATAGTTCATGTTTCATGGCTCTATGAGAGCACAGTCCAGATAATTGTTTTAATAAATCTTTTAAGTATGCTAATGCTCAGATGTTTATTGGTGAGAAGCTGATTCTTGTTTTGTAATTCTTGCTTTGCCAATGCTATTCTTATTTTGATATCTGTTGTTGATTTGTTATTGGAAGATATCATACTTCCACTATAGTAGAATTATCGGATCTGTTGTAATTGTGTATTATGTATTTGTATATTAATATTTAGATTTAATTGCATTTACTTATAAGCATAGTTTTGATTTTCATTTATTCTTCTGTAATTAAGATATACCAATATGTTCGAATGATAAACGTGGTGATCTATTAGGTAATATTATTGTATACATGTAAATCTATAAAAACAATTTTTGTAGAACACAAAAATGTATTGTTTATTATTTTTTTGTATTTAATTATAATTAATTATTATTTTTTTTTTTTTGTACTTAAGAAGTACCATTATGTTTGAATGATAAGTGTGTTGATGTAATAGGTAATATTATTATTTTTCAATTCTATGTTTATAAAATTTTATAATATTATATAGTGACATTTAACTTCTAAATTACATCTAGATGGAGCATTAAATCCAGTGAGAAGACAAAAGATTAAAGGTAACAGCATCTAAGCGTTTTTTTTAGTAAAACATTTTGTTTGATTATAAAATCATTAGTTATAATATTTATTTTAAGTGGACGTTAATTAACAATAGTAAAATTATTAGTTGAATTGGAAATCAATTTCGTGTGTTTAAAATCTTTATTATATTTGTAAACGCATTCAACCTTTGCAAATGACAAAATGTTAATAAAAAAGTCAAATAAAATAATATTTAGTTTTTATTGCGGATACTTCGGAATTATTAATGTTTAGCAGATAGAAATGTTGAGATTACTTCAAGTACTAAAGTTTTTCATCAGTAATTTCAGAACTTAAAAAATTAAAAACGGACAAAAATCGAAATGCACTATATATGATGGATATAGTAAATAAATATGTTGTAGATGATTCATTTAAATGATTTTGTTCTTAGTTTTTGTAAAATATAGCAAAATATAAGTATAATGTTTCTAATACCTACTAATTTCATTATTGGGAATATTAATATTCCTAATAATAACAGAATAAATATAGAAAACTTTCTTATCTATTAACTTATTAAATTATTAAGTTATCATGTATTTAGAAAAATATTTATTCAATCCTATTGAGTGCAGCACAATTATTACATTTTTCATGTTTAATATTAGGTAAAAAAAAAAAAAAAGAGTTAAAATATTGTCAGTAATAAATAGTCAACATCAAAAATTATACTAAATTATTAAATCCAATTTATGATGTAACTTTGTTAGAAAATTAAGTAGTACATTTGTCGTAAATACACCTTAAAAATGGTTTTAAATAAAAAGTTTTAACACTCTTTATTTATGAAATAATACAAATAAACGAAAATATAGACATTATTTATTTATTAGTGAACTGTAATTATAAAAATATCATAAAAATATAGTGATGATCTACCTTAGAGTACAATATAAAGATTTTTTTTAGCTTCAAGAATAATAATATAAAACTAGTTAACATGGGTCTCGTATTAGATTTTAATAATACGATTATTCTACTCTACATTAATTGTTTTTTAGGATATCTATGGATTATACATTAATAAATAAATTAAGTTATTCATAATGACCGAATTATTTACTAAATATTCTATATTTAGATGGATATTAAAAAAAAATATTACTAAATAATAAAACAAATAAAAAAAAAAAAAAAAAAATTTCTGGCGACGTCAATGATTTACCTACCTATAAATAATTACACTGTTTTTTTCATGTGTTCAGAATTTAAACACTATAAATTAATATACATTAGATAAAACATTTTCGTATTATTTAATAATACTTATTATTAAGCATAATTTTTGAATTAAAATATATTAATTAATTATTCTTATATAACTTAATAATCAAATATAAATATGATAATATATCAATGAACATAGTTTTTCAATTGAAAAAGATATCTTGCTCTACATCTGGAAAGATGATAAATTTGAATTATTTTAAAGTTAAAATTATTAAAATATTAAATTTAAACTAATCAGTTTTCACCAATTGGTCTCAATATATCAAGAAATGTTTCTACTAAGTTATAAGTTATTTTGGTATATACTTTCCTCAAGTGATTTAATTAAAGTGTAAGGATGTTAACTTGCTCTACCTTCGCCTATTTTTTCTTCCCTTATGAAAACTCTTTGTTGGCAAGGGTATTTGTTTTCATTCATAATTAGAATATAGATTTATTTAAGATTATATTTAAGTACTGTATTACTAATCAGTATCAATAAGATCCTAGAAATTACAAAACGCACAAAAATTAAAGATATCTACACAAATATTATTTTCTATTTAACTAATCGAAGTGGACAGTTAATAAATAAATGAAATTATTTTATACGTGTAAATGTACTAAAAATATTTTTTAGATTACCAACATTTATATTGATTATTTATTTTTAAGTATTTATGATTAACTAATTAATTATTCTTCTGTAATTAAGATATACCAGTATGTTCGAATGATAAACGTGGTGATCTATTAGGTAATATTATTGTATACATGTAAATCTATAAAAACAATTTTTGTAGAACACAAAAATGTATTGTTTATTATTTTTTTGTATTTAATTATAATTAATTATTTAATTTTTTTTTTTTGTACTTAAGAAGTACCATTATGTTTGAATGATAAGTGTGTTGATGTAATAGGTAATATTATTATTTTTCAATTCTATGTTTATAAAATTTTATAATATTATATAGTGACATTTAACTTGTAAATTACATCTAGATGGAGCATTAACTCCAGTGAGAAGACAAAAGATTAAAGGTAACAGCATCTAAGTGTTTTTTTTAGTAAAACATTTTGTTTGATTATAAAATCATTAGTTATTTTATTTACACATGATGAATATTGTAAAACAATGTGTTGGAAATGAAGCATTTAGATTTTTTGGTTTATACTGTGTACTTTTATGTAAATTATACCATTGTGAATATGTTTATAGTACCTACTAATTTCATTATTGGGAATGATAATATTCTAATAATATCTACATAGTAATAAAAGAATAATTTCTAACCTCTTTACTTACGAAATTATTATGTTATGATATATTTAAAATAATATTTATTTAATCCTATTAAGAGCAATACAATTATCATTATGTTCATATTTATTTATCATCATTTATTAAAGGCAATGCCTTGTCATTGAAGCCACTCTTCTCGGTTTGACAAAAAATTCTTCAGTAACCCAAAAGACGCACACGTCTTTTGGGTTTCTTTCAAGTTAGTTTTCCTTCGAAGATTGATTATAAATTTATTGTGTCGGATGATGTATCCGATTACATTTATATTTCTTAATTCATTTACTTTCATTATCTGTCTTTCTTTTCGATTTTTTCTAGTACTTGCTCATTTTTTTTCTTGTCTATCCATTTTGTCCTTGTAATTTTTTTCAATATCCGTAACTCTAATGCTTATAGATTTTTTCTGTTTATTTTGTGAATAGTTCATGTTTCATAGCTCTATGAGAGCACAGTCCAGATAATTGTTTTAATAAATCTTTTAAGTATGCTAATGCTCAGATGTTTATTGGTGAGAAGCTGATTCTTGTTTTGTAATTCTAGCTTTGCCAATGCTATTCTTATTTTGATATCTGTTGTTGATTTGTTATTGGAAGATATCATACTTCCACTATAGCAGAATTATCGGATGTGTTGTAATTGTGTATTATGTATTTGTATATTAATATTTAGATTTAAGTGCATTTACTTATAAGCATAGTTTTGGTTTTCATGGAATTTATTTTCATTTAAAATTTAGCATGTTCCTTGATAGAATTTTTAGCTTATTATTCATTTTTTGTTAGACTAACAATGTCATCTGTAAAGCGAATACAAATGTTGACAATTTATGTTCACTCCATTTGTCTTGGTTTTCATTATATCTATGCTCATTTTAATGAAAATATTGAATAGATAAGGCGACAATGGGCATCTTGTCTCACTCCTCTCCATATTCTTGCTTCTTTGACAGATCCATTTACATTTATTTCTGTCGTTTAATCTTTATATAAATTGAATATGAGCTGTATATTTTTTCAAACCATTCCTTTTTCTCTTAATATTTTAAATCAAATTTTCTAGTCCACTAAATCGAAAGCTTTCTCTAGATCTATAAATGTTGCTATAGTATTTCTGTTCACTATAATTCAAGGATCAATCTCAGTATTACTATCGCTTCTCTTGCTCCTCGCCATTTTCTAAATCCAAACTGATCTTCTGATATATTTTGTGTTATGTTCTCTCTCAATCAGTTTTCTCATTGGGTATCAATATATCAAGTTATATTTTTACTAAATTATAAGTTATTTTGCTAAATACTTTAGTTAAGAGATTTAATTAAAGGGTAAGGATGATAACTTGCTCTACCTTCGCCTATTTTTTCTTCACTTATGAAAACTCTTTATTGGCAATTATATTTGTTTTCATTCATAATANTCTTCACTTATGAAAACTCTTTATTGGCAATTATATATGTTTTCGTTCATAATTAGAATATGGATTTATTTAAGATTATATTTCAGTACTGTATTACTAATCAGTATCGATATGATCCTAAAAATTACAAAACGCACAAAAATTAAACATTTTCTACAATTTNAGAATATGGATTTATTTAAGATTATATTTAAGTACTGTATTACTAATCAGTATCGATATGATCCTAAAAATTACAAAACGCACAAAAATTAAACATTTTCTACAAATTTGCAACGAAATATGATAGGGATTTTAATCACGGTCAGATATCATCTATACTTGTCCCAAATATACCACGACCACATTGTGCTGCTACGCCAGAGTGCTATCGTTTTTAATAATGTATTCTATCATTCGTTTATGTTTTGCCGAAAATCATGTAATGTAGTTAATTATTATTTATTTTTGTTTTTTGTTATCATAATTCCATTTAGGCTTAATTTTTTTATAAGAGAATAATGAAAATTTAATTATATATATGACACTTGACTAAGTACTACTATTTAAGTTAAACACTGTTGATAAACTCATAGGGGTTTGTTAATTCAATATTAAAGATATCTACACAAATATTATTTTCTATTTAACTAATCGAAGTGGACAGTTAATAAATTAATGAAATTATTTTATACGTGTAAATGTACTAAAAATATTTTTTAGATTACCAACATTNATTATCGGATCTGTTGTAATTGTGTATTATGTATTTGTATATTAATATTTAGATTTAATTGCATTTACTTATAAGCATAGTTTTGATTTTCATTTATTCTTCTGTAATTAAGATATACCAATATGTTCGAATGATAAACGTGGTGATCTATTAGGTAATATTATTGTATACATGTAAATCTATAAAAACAATTTTTGTAGAACACAAAAATGTATTGTTTATTATTTTTTTGTATTTAATTATAATTAATTATTTAATTTTTTTTTTTTTGTACTTAAGAAGTACCATTATGTTTGAATTATAAGTGTGTTGATGTAATAGGTAATATTATTATTTTTCAATTCTATGTTTATAAAATTTTATAATATTATATAGTGACATTTAACTTGTAAATTACATCTAGATGGAGCATTAACTCCAGTGAGAAGACAAAAGATTAAAGGTAACAGCATCTAAGTGTTTTTTTTAGTAAAACATTTTGTTTGATTATAAAATCATTAGTTATTTTATTTACACATGATGAATATTGTAAAACAATGTGTTGGAAATGAAGCATTTAGATTTTTTGGTTTATACTGTGTACTTTTATGTAAATTATACCAAATTGTTAATATGTTTCTAGTACCTACTAATTTCATTATTGGGAATGATAATATTCTAATAATATCTACATAGTAATAAAAGAATAATTTCTAACCTCTTTACTTACGAAATTATTATGTTATGATATATTTAAAATAATATTTATTTAATCCTATTAAGAGCAATACAATTATCATTATGTTCATGTTTAATTTTAGGCGAAAAAAAGAGTTTAAATAGTGTCAGTGAACCAATTGTAAAAAATAACAATTTTACTTCAATATTAATTAAAGAAGAATGAAGCAAATGTTCATTCAAATGTTGATGTAACTTTGTTAGATAATTAAGTTGTAAAATTAAATTATAAAAATGGAATTATCGTAAATAGGTGTTTTAATTTTTCATATTTAACTATATTAGATAAACTTTAATTTATATCAAAATATCAGTATTTCCAGAAAATGTTCAAAAGTTAGTTTGAAAAAGTTATATGTTTTACTCGTATTTTTAAAGATTTAAACCCTTCCTCAAAAATATGTTAATTGAAAAAAATAAATATAAAGTATTAATAAAAAAAAATTTTATTGATTCATACATTTTTCAAAATGTAATAGTAATTTATATTTGAAAAAAAATTTTGAAATTGTAAATTTTAACACCAAAGTTGCATGTTTTTTAACTGTAGCAACCTATTGCACATAGAAGACAAGTTTTTTTTTGACTTTATAGTACATAACATAAGTTTTATTTTAACATATGTATGAAGCTCGGAGTATTTACTGAAAATTTTCAAAACCTAAGTTGAATAAGTTAAATATATGCAGAAGTTGATATTTGAAATCCCCCATGTGAGCGGTTAATGGTCACATTTTCAAAAAATTAATACCAAATGAAACGGAAATATCTAAGGTTTCAATATAAAAAGAATTTTTTTGATTTTTTGATTTTTCAATGAGTTATTGCAATTTGTAAGAAAAAAAATATTTTATTACATTTTTTTTTTGTAGGTGTCCCTATGTTTTTTATTTAGGTCCGTCGACATGGCAGACGTGTTACAATATGATCTGACATTATATATATATATATTTTTTGATTTTTTTATATTATATCATTTGTGGTAATGCGTGTGTATACGTAGTTCATTTTATTAATTTTCATTTATACATCAACTATCAACGACTCAACAAATATCAAATACAACTTTTATTTTTTTTAACTCAAAAACTTTTGTAAAGTATTTTAAGATAAAATAAAATACAAAATCAAAAATTTTAATACAAAAATAACGTACAGTTGATATTTTCAAGTGGTATTAACACTTTCAAAAATTAAGTTTTAAAAGTTTTTTTTTTGTAAAAAAGTTTTCATTTTGAATACTTCCTGTGGGTAGGTAAAGGGTCAAATTAAAAAAGAAATATACAAGATTATTGGTAAGTATCTCACGTATATGAGATTTTTTACTAAACGATTGTGTCATCTTTTTACCTAATTGCCAAATTATAAATAATCACAACAAGTAATCAATTAAACAAACTGATTTTCAACAGCGCATATCAGCAAACTCAATATAAACAGTTGCATTATTAATTTGTTTTTAAAATTGCATGCATTTTATTTATTTTTTTTACGTTCAAAATCAAAACATGATGTTACGTCACTATTTAGGGGTTGAGCCTAAATGCCCGTCAACAGTAATCTAAGGGACCAACGGGGGATAGCTGGCTAGGCTATATCAACCTTAGATACTGAGGTTTCCTATTAAATTTATATTCCCTTAGAGGAACTACCAAGGGTCGCACTACAATGTATATATAACACTCTTGGTTAACAACGATATAAATAAATATTTATTGAGTGATTGAAATATTAAATAGATAATACAACCTGCTGGACACCTAGAGATGATATAATCCAACAGGGAGTTGACGGCGACACACACACAGACACTATATACGTGGTAGTAAGTTAAGTTAATTATTAGACAAATGTAGTGATCGCGATGATTGTAAAAGGTCAACTGTCGATAGGGATTCTTATTATGGCACATTGGCCGTGAATTGCAAAAGTGTTAATGTGTGCAGTCCGCCCTCCTGTTAGTATTGTTGTTTGTCACTGTGTTAATTATATATATATATATATATATCAGAGGTGTCGTGGTTCGTATACGCGGGTATACGGCGTATACCCACTGTTAGTTTTCTTATTAGTGCATATACGTATTTATAAAATAGTTAAAGAGTATAGACTAAAGAATAAAATAAAAAGTAATACGTGGGTATCGAATATAGGTACGTTTGTCATAAAACACAAATTTTGAATAACTCTCATCAGTTTGTTTAATCTCTACAGTCATACCACATAGAAACATATATCTGAAGTTATAAACACACAAATATCGTTTGAGACTATTATCATTTTAAAAATAGAATATAAATGTAAAACAAAACATTGTTAAAGTGTATAAATAAATATCAATAAAATAAATAGGATAATGTTTATCATTTCACGACAATTTTATTGACATTTGACAAAATTCAAAACATTGACCAGAAATTAACGATATAGTACATAGTAAGTTGAAACTGAAAGTTATTGGGTTAACCTATAGTTGTTGAAATTGTTAATTTGTATTTTTCCGTAATAAACCGTTTACCAACCATATTAAACCAAAGAAGAAAAAGCGAAGAACATTATTTGCTTTTTTCTCAAAAACAAATCAAGTAATTATTACTATTATAATATACAACATTTTTTTTAATTTTTACTAATTAAGTTTCAAACATTTTGTATTTAATTTTGTGTTTTATTCTTATATACATTTTATTAACATAAATTTGTGTTCATTATTTTTTTAATTTAGAACAAATCTGTGACAGTTGAAATGGAGACAACTGAAAACCAAAATGATATGAAGATTGAAGAATTTATTGATGACCCTATTTTAGATTTTAATACTTCTATGGAATTTAATATTGATCAAGTAAGTGAAACCTACTCAAATTGTATTCAGTAATGAATTAATACTTTTATAATTCATTTACATAAACATTGTAGTAGATCTATAAAGTATGAGCTGGGACCCCCCTAACCCACATGTTGTGGGTTTATTATGCCATAGATTGATGGGTGGTGTAAACAGCCGGGGGGGTATGGTGAAAGGTTGATGTTGCTCGTTCCTTGATAGCGTTTTGTTATACCATGGTACATGTATAGTTACCTTGGTATATGCATAGTATACCTAGGTAGATAGAACATCATACAGTATACCTTGATATATTATAGAAAATTTGAGGGATTTTGGAAATTGCATAATTTTAGAATTATGTGAAAATATTTGAATGCAGAAAAGTGAAAGGTGTAATCAAGCGGCGACAGCGGCTATTAATCCAACGAAACCCAACTATAGCTATGTGATGTGTAGGCCTTTGGTCATAGAGAGCCCTCTTACTTGACTAATGTATGTATTAAAACAGTGGATCAGCGGTTTACCCCTAAATAGAAGGGGAGGTGATGATGAAACTCATCATAAGGTGATCATTATGATGATATTAAAGTAAATAAATAAATATGTACAATATTATACTATTTTATAGATAAAATATTTATACGTTAGAAATAATATTTTATCAAATTCTTTTTTGATTATTCAGTCACACTACCGCGTTTGTTAATAGACATTTTTTGTTAATGTGTAATCGTTATTGTATAAAACATATGTATACACATACTCTATTACATATATTTGTATAAAAATATTTAAAAATCGAGAGTTTAAAATTAATTATTATGATATTAAAGTGAAATTACTTAAGTGGTGAAGGAAAGGGTTAGTCTACGGGGATATGTGTCCTGTGATTTGCTGACTCCTTATGAAAAAATGGGATTTTTCTGCATAAATGAGCATGAAATCTTTGATAAAGTCACAGTGTCATCAAGAATCATCAGATCTAAGAAGAAGACTCTATTCAATGAACAATATGGCTGCCGAACCTGTTAGAAAACAGCACTACATTTATATCACACCAACACCGCCAGCCGAGATGATTGACTCTAGCAGTTACACTATTGCATTCAGCGACAGAAAATTTTTGCAAGTGGGCCTGAATCCAAAGAATGACTTCAATGTTACGATATGCATTATTACTCTTTCACGATATATTAATATGACAGCAGATTATTTAAATATTATTTACGGCATGATGGATGAAATAACATTATTTCTACAATCACCTTCGGTAAAAGGAGAGAACATTGTGTTATACCAAAATGTTGATTTTAATATAACCAAAGTATTGTACCGTGATACCATGCATTTAGTATTAGAATCCAAGATGGTCGATGGGTGTCGAGTGTTATTAAATAACGAAAACATTAATATACTTATGGACTTACAGTGTACTATTAACAGTACAATATCAAGAAAAATAAAAACACGTTTACTATTAAGCCATCAAATAGACCACATCATACAATACGTGACGATAAATGGCAAGGCCCTAAAATTCAACATTCAAACAATGATGAAATGGTTAAATTTATAAGAAGTTTGAACGATAAAGAAATATGCGATATTTTTCCTAAAGGCGACAGTAATTACATAAGCGAGCTGAAGAATTTAGCATACAATGTAATAGTTGATCGTTGGGTCAAGTCATGGACCAAAGACATGCTTCAAATTAATGTGAGTTTAATGAACATAGATTGTCATAACCTTTATTGTTATCAAATTTATAATTATGTTTTATAAAAAAGAAGAAGAAATGTGCGATGAAAATGATGGACCAACATTTTTCAATACAACAGTGTTTACCCAAGAAAATATTTATAGTCCATGGACTTCACAATGGCCGAAACCCAATCACGTCAAAAAATTAACCTACATTAATAATTTATAAACAATAACTTTATATATTGTACTAGTTTCTTATATTAAACTTATAATCTAAAATGAAAAACAAATTGTTGTTATTTGTATATAATATATTTATTTTATAATAATAATATTAATTGCAAGGTTTATAATAAATGTGTTACATAAACATGTAAAAAATGTTAAAATATACGGATGATACCGTCAAAAGGTGTATATGTAAATACATCGTCTGAAATTACTAGAGCATATGCAGTTGTATTAGCGGCGAACGTGGTTGGTGCTTCAATTTCAATACGTAAGTCAAAAGACGGGACTGTAATTGTGCCGTTCTGCTTTGAAATATCAATCACTGCAATAGAATTATTATAATGATATTAAAAAATAATATTAACTATGATTAAAATAAAAACGTCTATACATTTGTCGGTTAAATAACAAGGTATTTGTATGGTGGATTTGTACCGCACATATTTGTACAGTATTCATTATAACAAGTAAAAATGTTAAATTTA